CAGCACCGGCCCCCTGTGGCTGTACTGCGCCCAGGGCAAGTCACTGCGGCAACGGCATGGTCATGGTCATCAACGAACCGTAAGCCCTCCCCCCCTTTTCCCCAAACCCAAAACCCAAATTAACCTCCCCCTCCCCCACACAGAGCATCCAACCCCAACCGCACCCTCGACAGCTTCAAGACCCTCGCCGCCACCGCCCAGGGCGTGACCCCCGGCGGCGGTGCAGGCGGAGCGGCCGGCGGTGCTGGTGGCGGCGCTGCGGGCGGTGCTGGTGGCTCGACCGGCGGCGACCAGACGGGCAGCACCGGCGGCACCACGCCCACGGGCACCGAGGACGCGGCCCAGGCGACCATCTCGACGGCGGGCGCGGGTGTGCTCACCGTGCCCGGGGGCGTTCGCGCTGGTGGTGGCGGGTGTGGCAGCGCTTGTTCTTTGAGGAGGGGAGTGAGTGGTGGATGTGGTGTGGTGGTGTTTTTGGTTGGTGGGTGGGTTGTTTATAGCGGGATTTAATTTGTTGTTTGGTTAGGGAAGTGGGTGGTGCCGATGGGTGACTGCTGGTTCGGATATACCTTTGGAGGGATGGGTGGAGGCGATGTTGGGGGTATTCTATTCTATATTTTATGATCACTGTACATGTATCGTACATACTCCATGGCGTGTGTTACATACTGCATAAAGAAAGACGGATGTGCTTACATGGTATTTTCAGCCTTCGCACTAGAATGTCTGATGGTATGGGATCTATGAGAACCTCCTCGATAAAATGTACACAGAAAAACACCCAGCTAATTCTATCCAACCCCTAGTTATTCCCATTCACTTCCCCTCCTTCGGGATAACCCGCTTCTTCCGTCCCTTAGCCGCCTGCTCACAAAGCGGTCTCTTCGGCTCCGTCCCCGGCCACCCTTCAGGCCGCTTCACATAACCAACAAAGTCATACTTGGGGCTGTTCTTGAAGAAATTCACCCAATGCGTCAGGCCCTCCTGCACCTTACGCTCCGCCTCCGCCATCTCCTGCTTCTTCAACTCGGCCAGCTGGGCCGCCGTCCAATGGCGGTCCACCACAGGGTCGTCCAGCGGCAGGAACATCTCCTCGACGCCGCGCATGTCGGGCGTGCGGTCCTCGGCAAAGCAGCCCGTTACGAACCCGCGCGCCGCATCACACCCGGAGAAGAACCGGTACGAACCCCCGGGCCCGTACGTCCGCGCGTTGGACGACACGTCGTAGATGCTGCCGTTGATCGCCAGGTAGATCGGCTTGTCGGGGTCGCTGCCGTCGTAGCCGGCTAGTTCCTCGGGGGTGAGGTAGATGGGACCGCGCTGTGTGGGGAAGGTGGTTAGCTTGTGATGTTGTGGATTGGTGGGGAGGGGAAGGGGCGTACAAGTTGCTTCATCCACCAGTCAGTCTTGAGGTACTTGGAGCCGTTGGTGACGCCCCAGGTGTAGGTTTCGCCGTTGGAAATGAGGTAGCTCAGGCCAAAGTAGGCGAGCACGAGGAAGGTGAGAACGCGGAAGATGTCGAGGACGTGCGAGGTCGATTCGTCGTCGTCGAGGCGGTCTTTGGTCGATTTCTTCTTTGACTTTTTGGGTGCATCCCTTTTCGGTTCCTCGTCCTGCGACGCGGCCGTCTCAGACTCCGGGGGGGTGTCCGTGGCGGGTTCGGGCTTGCGCCGCCGAACAGAGGATTCGCCGGCCATTGGGAGATATGGGGGTGAGGGCGACAACCGGTTTGTTGGAATTCGGGGAGGAATTGGGGGAGAAAAAGGCCAAACAGAGAAGAGTTCAAGGAGACAACGTAATGCCCACCGTTAAATGTAGCCAGATTTCCAGCGGGCTAGCCGGATAAGCGAGGCTGAGCAGCAAGAGTGGGATGAGGATGGTCCCGTCTCGCTTCCTGCTCCGCCGGACTTGCATGGTGGCATGGAACGCTCCGAGACCGATTGGGTCAGTTTCCAGAAGCACGGTGCCCCACAATTGCATTCCCGTCTCCCATAGCAACTGGACCCTGGTAATAGGAAAATCGGTCATTGGCCAAGAACGGATGAGTCGGGCAGTCAATACTCCAACCCACCCGAGCAAATTAAACGTCCGCCCGCCAAATCATTGACGTTGTCGCCGCACACATTGCAATCCACGCGATCAACACCACGACCAGGAACAGCCGGGAGCCAGAATAACGCGCACACATTAGGAAAATCTTATCGCTTTTACATTCTACCAAATCGGCGACCCCGTCTTCCCGTGCAGCTTTCTCCGCTTGCTTTTCGATCGGCGACATCCCCTAATCCATCGCACCCGGATCCCGCATTTGCGCGTCAGTCAATACCTTGTCCACGCGGCGGGAAGAGGTAGACAGGCTGCACATTGTCTCTTCGACAAGTTAACTCAGCCAAGACTTGCATGAGTCTACAATAACATACAGAGCCCGCTCGACGATGTCAGTACCGTCGAGCCCCGGCGGCGGCGGACAGCCGCTGCAACCAATGTCGCACAACGCGCAACGCGAATCTGCGCTCTTCGCGTCCGTCCAACACCAACGCATGGCAGAAAGCCCGTCTGCCCGCGACAGTTCGGTGCACGAGAAGATCAACCAATTCAACACCCTCGCCATGCATTCCAAAACCCTCGAGCGCAAAACCGCCGATGCCGCCCTCAAGCGCGCTATGCTCGGGCGGGAGGAGGCCGAGGCCGAGGCGCGGCGATATCGTGATGAGGTACTTGCATTGAGGAAAGAAGTCGAGGAGGGGAAGAAGAACGAGAGGAAAGTGGGAGAGCGCTTGGAGGCTGTGATGGTAGGTGCCCCGCGCGGCCTATCCCCCCACGTAGAGCTAATAAGAAAAAAGGAAAACTCCGGCCGTGCCAAAGAGATGTACGCCCACTCTCAACAACGATGGGAAAAGGAGATCCGCCGCTCCCGAAAAGAAACCTTCAAAGTACAGAGCACCCTCGTCAAAGTGCAGGAAGAACTCAAGTCCTCTCGGGCGGCTCAGAAAGCCACGGAGGAGGAGCTTCAGACTGAGCGGGAGCGAAGCAAAGCCCGGGAGCAAGAGTCTTTCGATGCTCAGTACCGGCTGGTTGGACTTCAGGAGCAACTGGATCAAGCCCTGGCCCGCGCCAAGATACTAGAGCAGGAGCTGGAGGCCCTCAGGACGTTGGCAAAGAGCGAGACCGAGGTTAAACGTGCCGCTTCTACTGAAGACGGCGGCGACTCCGAAGGGCCACGGAAACGTGCGAGACTGTCGTCTGTGTCGGCGTTCGGCCATGGTGACCCTGAAATCGAGACGATCACGATGCTCTGGGAATGGGAGAAGCAGCGTGCGGACCGAGCCCTGGAACAGGTCGATTTCCTCGAGGCGGAATGCCAGCTCAAGATGTGTTCGGCGGGAAAAGAGCTGCGCAGGACTTCGGTCCAACGGTCGGGCCCACGCAAGCGAACCAGCATGTTGATCTCGGATGCAGGGGACTCGATGATCCTTAGTGAGAGCCGTCGAGCCTCCGCTGAGATGCCCAAGGCATCGCCGAGGCTGTCCAAGACCGACCAGCTCAGGGTGCGCAAAGAGCCGCGGCGAAGCACCATCTTCCTCCCGGCCGAGGGTATCTTCCGGACCGTCTCGCAAGCCGAGGCTGACGAAATAGCGGCGAAGTCGACGACCTCATCGGGTGTATCCCCTACTGAGGCGGCATCCAGCCTCCCCATTACACCGGTAGACAACAACCCGATGTACCGTCGCTCGCCGTCCCTCGACCCGCCAGACTTTGCCATGATTGGCAAACAGCGGACATCGCTGCTCTCACTACTCGACGCCCCACACAGACAAGAACCCGTACAAGTGTTCAACATCCCCACCACCCCCGGCCCCGCAGCGCCAGAGGCAGACCATGCCGACGCAGAAGAAGAACCCGATGCGCGACTCACCACCAAGGCACCGGGCGAGATAACCCTCCCTCCACGACAACCGGCCGCCTCCCTAACCGGTCCCCTCAGCGAACCCCTCCCACCCCACTCCACCACTGCAACCACCACCACCACCCTCGACGCCCACACCCGCCCGCACACAACAGCATCCTACTACCGCCCATCCACGTCTACCACCTCCACCGTAACCACCACCACCAAAGTCCCCCTCCGCGAAGAACCCGACGAGGACAGCGGGCCAACACTCGCCCAGCGCCTCATGAAGATGCAGCGCACCCCGTCCCGCCAGACCGGCGACAGCCACCGCGGCAGCGACTCCAGCAGCATCCACAACCCGGATGGGCCCAGCTTCGACACCAGCAACCCGGCCCTGACCCCGACCATGACGCGCGAGGAGGCACTGGCGCAGATTAGAGAGCGGCGCGGCCGCGCGCGCAGCGTCGGGAGGGTCGGGAGCGCGGGGAGCTCGGCTGCTGGTGGCGGGGCGAGTGTGGGGGTTGGTTCCGGTTCCGGTTCTGGTTCCGGTCTTGTTAGGACTGGGAGTGGGGCTGGGGCTGGGGAGGCGCGCCGCAAGGTTTCGGGGAGCAGCGCGACAGGGGAGGTGAGGCGGAAGGTTTCAGGGAGTGGTGCCAGTGGGCCTGGAGGAGAGGTCAGGCGGAAGGCGAGCGGCGATCTTGGGGGGACGGTGAGGCGGGCTGCCGGCGGTGATGAGAGGGGCCGTGAGAGGGGGGATGTCAGGGGAGGGGCTAGGCCGCCGAGTGCGGCGGGGACGGCCAGGGGGGCGTCGGGTGGGGTGAGGCGGATTCGGTCATGAGTCGTGAACTACTAATGTGTGTGTGCGTGTGTTGTGTGTGTTGCTTGGATCCGGGGGCTTGGATGTCGCGGTGTTGGGTGGCATTCATTCATTCATTGTTGGGTCAGGTTCTGGCCGCGGGAACAATCATTATACCCCTGTGGGAGGAAGCCCGGCTGAATATTGCGGTCGTTTTTTTATATTGGTTTATTGTCTCCCCTGGAGTCGGCAGGGCTCACTTCCTTTTGTTGGGCGGTTTTGCACTGGCCGGCGTCACGCTCTTTGAGCTATCGAAATGCGTGTTGGAGTTAGGGCACGGCCAGGTTAGGTCGTCTTTTCTTTTTTTGTCTTTTTTGTTTTCGGATTGGGACGGGCTTGCCTCTTGTGATATCACTCTGCATAGGACAGCGAGGGGCGTCTTGTTCAATAAACTTTTGTGCACTTCATGCTCGGTGTTTTGGATGTGGTTGTTTGTCTGCTGTTGTTTTGTGTCTAGGATCGATATGATTAGGGGAGAACTTTACAAAAGCTAGAGTTACCGCCCTGCCTCTCGGTTGGTGATATTCGAAGGTGGTGATCCTTGCTGGGTTGGTTCATGCTTGGGGGCTGAAGGCTTTCGCCATAATTTCAACGACGAACGAGAAACGTCCTTGGTGTTGTATAAGTGTTATTCCTAACGAGGTCAATGCCAAAGGCATACGACAACACATAGAAGTTTAAGATTCTGTCCTTCCTGTCCTCGTCATGAACCAAAAGATCTCAACCTCACTCCCAGTTTTCCAGTTGTATTGAGTTAACTATGATTGGAAGAATCTCTGTTTTGCCCTTATCCCTTTTCTTATTCACGAGTTGTACTTGGATATCAGTTAAGAACGGTCTTGATATAGTTCGATTCTCAATGCTGACCTTGTGGTTCTCAAAAAGCAATACAAACCCACATACAAAAAAGAAAGACTACCTAACACGATCTACTTACAACACACCCCCAGACGCCTGCGATAAAAAAGACCCCGTCCCCGACCCCGAACCACCAGACACCGCACTCTGCGCCGCCAGCACCCCACCACCACCACCCTCCAATCCCAACCCCCCCAGCCCCAACACACCCGCAGCACCCGACCCCACCCCCGCCGACATAGACACCGCCCTCGACGAGCGCGTCTGCTGGCGCTGCGCGCGGCGCTGGCTCGTCGTCGCCTGCTGGCCCTGCTGCTGTAGCTGGGTCTTCTTTTCCTCGGCCTTGGCGACGGCGACCTGGCCGGCGGTGAGCAGGAAGCCGGGCATGAGGGTCTCTTGCTCGTCGGTGCTTTGGTTGTAGAAGGCGGGCCAGATTACGACGGCGTCGGTGAGGAGGTTGGGGGTGTCCCGGTCCGTTGTGGTGGTGGTGGTGGTGGCGGTGGTGGCGGGGGTGGGGTTGGAGGACTTTTTGTTGTTGGGGTTGGGGCGGGATTTGGCGTTGTTGGTGTTGGTGGTGGTGTTGTTGCTGTTGTTGGAGGGTCCGGGTTCGGAGTTGGTGGTGGAGGTGGGGTTGTAGAGGGGGTTGGCTACGTCGGGAGAGACATCAAATTCGATTTTGCCGTCGAGCCTTTGGATAAACTTCCATTGCTCGGCGGCCTCGGTGCAGAGGTTTCGAAACTTGACGTCGAAGCTTGGTTGGGACTTTTCTGGGATCAGATCGTGCACGTATTCGGCGACGCTGGCCATCACGACATTGATATGGGAGACGATGACAGCGTTGGTATTGCTGGGACTGAGATCAGCTAAGCGTACTAGCACGGAACGAAAGTGAGCCTCGCGATCTGAGTCCTTGTCGCCCAAGTTATCGAGAATTCTGGCAAGGCCCACGTCCGGCAACAGGTACGTGGGTTGGAAGATATTGTGCCGCATTTCGTGCGCGACAAAGGCGAGGAAGGCAGCCATTCGCATTTCTTTGGCCACGAGAGTGCCGGACAGAGGAATTGGGATATCCTTCCTGAAAGCCGGGTGTCTTTTCAGGTTGTCCCAGAGGGCGGAGTTGGACCGGAGTTGGGGCGGCATGTCCCCGAAATAGGTTTCAGCCATGTCCCTGGCTGACAAGAATATCTTGTTGAGCTTCGAGCGTCTGTCACGCCGTGTTAGCCTTCCACAAGCAGGCAGCAAGATTCCGCTCACATTTCCTTGTGGCTCGTAACCACAGGCATAAGCTCGATTGAGAAGCCTTTCAGGTCATGGAGCTCTTCGCGTTCAATGTCGAGGTTCCTTTTGAGTATGGCTATTTCTTTCCCCAGCGCCACCTCTTTGCTCGCCATATCCTTCTGGCTCGCCTTCAGTCCCTCCTGAGCTTCTTTAAGTTCTCGCGCGAGGTCGTCGACTTGATTCTGTAGATCTCCTACTCGGGCATCCGCAGTATCCAACTGGCTTTTTGCAACGTCCATTTTGTGGTTTAGTTCTGCGATCTTTCGATCTCGACTGTTGACGTCTATTTCAAGTGTCTTCTTCTCATCCTTTAGTCGAGTGTTCTCATTGACAAGGGCCACGAAGTCTTCGATTCCGGCACCGAGCAATAATTCCTTCGCAGCCTTGATGAGGTGTGCCGCCTTGGCCGCGTCGCCATAGCCGGGAGATGGAGGTGTCATGGTACGAGGTACACGAGCAGCCATGCCAAAGAGTGAGGCTGTTGGGCAATTGGGTAGGTGTAGTTCCAGTAGTCAGGGGAGGGAAAGGGGGAGAGGCTGGGAACTGGCTTCACTCTGCAGGAATGGCGGCTCTCCTTGTTTCCATCCCTCTGATTTTCAAACCCCACGTAATTGACCACCCTCCATCACGCAAGGCTAAGTGATACTGCAGTGGCATCACATTCACGGGTTCTAGATGATGGATGGCCTCACCTTCCAAGCCCCAACAATGCCTCTGTGCCTCCTTCGATACACGCGGCCAACCGACGGCCCGTCACCTCGGCCACTCATGGGCGGGTGTAGCCTGCAAGAGGCCTCGGCGCAGCGATTGACCGACAGGGCGGCACCACGATTGGAGCCGAGGCTGCGACTCATCGCATAGATGTGCGAGAGAGTGTGGCCACCCCGCGGCAAGACAAGTCACTGAAACCCATGCCGTGCCAGTAGCGTGTACGACGCGCCCTCCATGTTGGCTGCAGGAGGTCTTTCCACCCCATGCTCTGCTGCCAATCAAACGCCGCAACGTCTCCGGTTGGCAGCCTCTTCCGCGTTGCCGGGACAAACAAGGCATACGAGATGGGCCGATGCAGCAAGGCAGCGTTCCGCCGGAAAGTTTTAGAGTTTGGGTTTGTAAACGGATTCATAGGCTGTCATTCGGCAGAAGAGGTGCAAAAAAAGGAATGATGATGTATGTAGGCTGTGATCGACCATGGATGGTCTGTGTCACTGTGTAGTGCGACAAGTTGATAAATGACAACTCTGAATTTCTTGTTGCATCGTTGAGTGATGACCCTGATACGAGGTGCCGAGGTGGTAGCCTAATGCTTTTGTTGTTGGTAGCGGTTCGGAAATCTGCCTAGCGTTGGTTCTTCTTGTTGGAACAGATTGTATCATGCAGGAAGCTCGGGAGGCGGGGTTGCGGTTTGATAGTTGCCTGTAACTCTGGTTGATTTCTGCGCAGCAGTAGGTATCTGTCTGCTCCTTCCTGTGTCTGTGCTCCTTCCTGTGCTCCTTTGTGCTCTGCTCCTTCCTGGTCTAGGTTGTTTTCTTTCCTCTAATTTCCATGGGATTTTGATAAACTAAAACAACAAAAGAACCCGACAACAACAAATCCAGCGCGATTAGTTCAGTGGTTAGAATTCTCGCTTCCCATCTTCTCTTGGACTAGCGAGTGACCCGAGTTCGAATCTCGGATCGCGCAACCACAATCTGTTCAATTTTTGCATCTTTGCACTTTGAATCTGGAGCAGCAGAAAGGACACCGCAGGGAGAAAGTGTGTCCGACTTGTTACCTAGGTTTTAAAACTTACGGGTGGGCGTGTCTAGCAATAAACCGTTGTATAGCCTGGCCTGAGCTGAAATTGACTTCTTGTGGTGTTTTGGAGCCATTATCACAAGAGCTTTGCTCGCGTTTGCGGGGTTGATCGGGTTCGAGATGAAAGATACGGCCCGAGCGCCACATGAGAATCGAGCTGTTGAGCACGAGCCACACATCCTAGCCACTTGGCACTTTGCAGAATGGTGCTGACTGATCCCGACCCCTGATCCTTGCTTGCAACCCCCTCCGACTTGTCCAATTCCAAGCAAGGCAATCCCATCATTGTTTTGGTTGGGAAAGTCATGAGAATGAGGAAGGATAGGTTTCTTGGTTCCTGCTAGCTGTAATCTGGGATTAACGCGACTTGTTGATCATGACCAATCCACAGTCACACGACGACATGCCCTCGTCGACGGTGGGCGCCGAGGAACTGTTCCTCGAGTCCGGGGTCTCTACTCACCATATTCCTAATATTTTGCCGCATGAGCGCGTTTTCCCCGTCCAGCTTGGGTCTGAGCTGTTCAAGCTCTCTGGCGCATCGATATCATCTGATGGTGCGTCCCTCGTTTACACCCAGCGCCCCGCACTCGTCACTGGGCATCAGAGAGCCGGGGGGCTTTAAGAGTTTTTTGGGTTATGCATCAACGAACCTCACTGACATCTGCCCAGCACCCTCGTACTTTTCCCAGTACTTTAGATGTCAAGTGAAGCGGGCCGAGGAAGCGGGCCAGGATATCGGTTCGGCCATCCGCACCCTCTACATCGACCGTGACCCCATCACCTTCCGGGACATCTCACTGCATCTCCAGGGGTACCACGTGCAACCCCGCGATGCGACACACTTTGTGCGCCTGTTCGCCGACGCTCAGTTCTACCACCGTGAGACTCACTTACCTCGCCCTCCCTACCACAGCTCCACTGCCACCCCCTACACACATTCATTACCCCATAACCCCGTCTCTCTCTAACTACCCCCGGACGCTCCAGTCCCCAAACTAGTATCACAGCTCTACGAAGAACCCATCTTCACCACCATCGGCGGCGTGCAATTCCGCATCCCGCGCGATCTGTTCTCGGCGCCCGGCAACTCGCCCAACTTCTTCACGCTCGGCTTCGCCGCCTTCTTCTCGGCCCCCGGCGGCGACCTCTTCCCGGGCCTCGACCGCGAGGGCCTGCTCCGCCCGCCTTCCATCATCCCGCCCTCGGTCGAGGGCCGCTCCCCCGAGACATTTGCGGAGCTGCTGCACCTGCTGCGCGGCTACCCCGTCGCCATCCGCGGCGAGCAGCACCGGGCCGAGCTGTTGCGGGACTGTCGGTATTTTAATTTTAAGGGGTTGGAGCAGCGGCTGATTCCGTCGGCCGTGTCGTTTAATTTGGCGAGGGGGAGGGATGAGATTGTGTTGAGGTTGCGGGATATCCTGAAGAGTGGGATTGCCGTGGCCGCGGAGCCGACTGCGACGGACCCGCGCGCGGGGTGGGTGAACTATGGGCGGCCGTTTGTGGATGAGCGGGCGTTGGAGTTAGTGCTCGAGATCGGGGACGAGAGTACCCGGCTGCGGATCGTGCCGGGCCAGGGGGCGGGGGAGGGAGCAGTGGAAGCGCGGGCCGAGTTCTTTGGTGAGATGCGCGCGCGCGTGACGAAGTTGCTGGAGGTCGTCGCCACGAAGTTGGGTTTGCCACCTACCGCACAGCTAGGGGGGTTGTTGATGGGGAAGGGCACCGGGGGCAGCGCGCCGCCTTCGCCGGGGAACACGCCACTGAGCGAGGACCTCGTTAAGGTGCTGCTTGACTCCGAATCGAGCGTAATGTTGGACGGCAAGCCGTGGACGCCGGTCCCCGAAGAGGAGCAGTTGGCGTGGACGACGGGAAGCATAGACGCTGCGCTGATGCCGCGGAAGCGGAAGCGGGTGGATGAACAAGGCGACGCTGAGGAGTGGATTGTCAAAACTGGGCAGTGGCGGTTGAGGCTCCAGGGGGCGAGAAACGGAAAGGCAGCCGTCGAGTGTTGCTTAGTGGCCGTCAAGTTGGATGCCTACAGTTCGGAACGGGCGCGGAACGGGCAGAGGCCGTTTCTGGGTGGTTAGAGCCGCTGCTAGGTGTGGACTTGTAACACATGAGCGAACCAATGCCTTTCTTTGTTTTGGCTGATTGATAGCTAACTACCTGCTGGGCTAATGAATGTCACTGGGCAATGAGATAGGAGAATCGCCCGTGGAGGTGGCATTTGGTTAGGTGAACCCACCAAATCCTCAACACCATGGTGCTATCACTAGGCTGCCAACGCCCCTAAACTGGCCCGACGAATCTGCGTTGAAGCCCGCTGCAGGCCCGTTGGTGTGGTTGGTCCGTGTGGGTGGACCATTTTTATTTCACGAGCTAGAATGTGATGATCGTTCCATTTTGGAACTGACAAATCAATCCTGGCCAAGCCAGAATTTCCCAAAAGAAAAAACTGCTCTTCTTTCTTGGCCGGGTTGCCAGGCTTGACAAAACAACACTGCAACGCCTGGGAAGTAAATATTAGGATGATCATCAAAGAATCATGAGAGTGAGAGGCTCTCTTATGATCAGACTGCCCCTGTGAATGTCAAGGACGAATATCAAAAGCGAGATGAAAGTGGCTCGAAAAAAGTGGTTCGGCATTTGGTGAATGTGATGGGGGTGCACGGATCATCCCCTGACGCGAGCCCCTGCAGGGCCCTGCAGGGCAGCGCGACTGGCTGATAACACAGAGTGGGGAGTCGCGCTTGCCCACATCGGGAGCGCTACTGTCAACAATCAAATTTCCCCACCAGCTGTTCACCCAAACTGACCTTCAGGCTTCCGCTTGACCTCAATTTTCCACTCTCCGCCAGTCTGCAAGTCGTCTTTCGGCAACAGTCGCTTTCTCCATCTGCTTATCGACCCTTCACCTACTTACACGCGTCTGCAACAACTCTGCCAAAATGCGTGAGATTATCAGCTTGAACGGTACGTCGGAAAAGATCTCTGCTGGATTTTCCCATCCGTAGATGGCGCGCTCCCGAGCTCACCGCATCTGGTGATGTTTGGGTCGGCACCGCTGTTTGCAAGCTTGCAGCTCAGGTCCCGGATCTCGATTTGCGCCAGATGATACTGACTTCGTTTGTGTATAGTCGGCCAGGCTGGTTGCCAGATCGCCAACTCCTGCTGGGAGGTATGTTTCTTCCCCTCCCGACCCGGATCTGCCGTTTGAGGAGCTCGGACGATCCGACCATACCGTCGATCTCGAAGTGTTGATGATGCTGACTGTTCTTCCCTCTATAGCTTTACTGCCTTGAACACGGCATTCAGGTGTGTTTTCCCATTTTGCGCTTTTCCGACAACCAAACCTTTGCTGACCGCTACTTCAGCCCGATGGCTACCTCACTGAGGAGCGCAAGGCCGCCGACCCTGATCAGGGTTTCAGCACTTTCTTCTCTGAGACTGGTAGGAAATGAGACCCCGGGAGTCCTTCAAGTTACTCATAAACTTATCCGGCAGCCGCAGGTAACGGCAAATATGTGCCGCGAACCATCTACTGCGATCTCGAGCCCAACGTCGTCGACGAGGTCCGCACCGGCGCCTACCGCGGCCTTTTCCACCCGGAGCACATGATTACTGGCAAGGAGGATGCGTCCAACAACTACGCCCGTGGCCACTATACGGTCGGCAAGGAGCTGATCGATCAGGTCCTGGACAAGGTTCGCCGCGTCGCCGACAACTGCAGTGGTCTTCAGGGCTTCCTCGTCTTCCACTCGTTCGGTGGCGGCACTGGTTCCGGTTTCGGTGCTCTGCTCATGGAGCGCCTCTCGGTGGACTACGGCAAGAAGAGCAAGCTCGAGTTCTGCGTCTACCCCGCTCCTCAGACCGCCACCTCGGTCGTGGAGCCGTACAACTCGATCCTGACCACCCACACCACTCTCGAGCACGCCGACTGCTCCTTCATGGTCGACAACGAGGCCATCTACGACATCTGCCGCCGTAACCTGGGTCTCGAGCGCCCCAACTTCGAGAACCTCAACCGCCTGATCGCTCAGGGTATGTTCTCACATCAACCGTGAGTGAACTGGAGCTGACCCCCCTTTGCTAGTCGTTTCCTCCATCACCGCTTCGCTCCGCTTCGACGGCTCGCTCAACGTCGACCTGAACGAGTTCCAGACCAACCTGGTCCCCTACCCGCGTATCCACTTCCCCCTCGTTGCCTACGCGCCCGTCGTCTCGGCCGCCAAGGCCGCCCACGAGGCCAACTCGGTCCAGGAGATGACCATGTCTTGCTTCGAGCCCAACAACCAGATGGTGAAGTGCGACCCCCGTCACGGCAAGTACATGGCCACCTGCCTGCTGTACCGTGGCGATGTCGTCCCCAAGGATGCCCACAGCGCCGTCGCCACCCTCAAGACCAAGCGGACCATCCAGTTCGTCGACTGGTGCCCGACTGGCTTCAAGCTTGGTATCTGCTACCAGCCCCCGCACCAGGTGCCCAACGGCGACCTCGCCAAGGCCAACCGCGCTGTGTATGTTCCCTCCCACGTCTGTTGCATGAGGCTCGTTACTAATTCTGTTCTAGGTGCATGCTCTCCAACACCACCGCCATTGCCGAGGCCTGGTCTGCCCTGTCGAGCAAGTTCGACCTCATGTACTCGAAGCGCGCTTTCGTGCACTGGTACGTCGGCGAGGGTATGGAGGAAGGCGAGTTCTCGGAGGCTCGCGAGGATCTTGCGGCTCTGGAGCGCGACTACGAGGAGGTTGCTACCGACTCCATGGGCGAGGAGGAGCTGGAGGCTGAGTACTAAGCGGACCGGGTCTGCCGGTAGTTTGGTAATGTTGTGTTAACCAGGCGGTTTATTAACTTTTTGACCTGGGATTCCCGTTGGCAATGATCCTTTTCCGCTATGGGTATTCTTGGCAAGCGCGGGCCCGTGATCTTCTCTGTTAGACGGAAAGTGTAGTCCTTTTTTAATCAAGAGTAAAGCAGCCGGAGCAATTGCTGGCTTTGCAACACAACTCCAACTCCACACGGCAGATACCCAATAACACCGTGTTAATCGCGTCCCACAACCAGCCCGTCAACGGTATTCTCGACCTGGTGTGGCAAGCTTAGGCATTTCCTCTTACGTACACTTCTGGCGAGGCCTCAGAAAAGCCTGGAGAGTACCAATAATGTCGCGTTTGGTGTTGTTGCAGCGCCCTCCTGGCTGCAGTTGCCGTTGGCTGCAGGTCTTGCAGGTCTTGCAGGTCGTGTGTGATGGTCTTGGTTGGGTCTTTGGGATCCAATCAGAGAACACGCTAACGCCAAGTTCCCTCCATGAACCCACATGCGGACTTTCCCGCCCGCTGTTTGGTCCTTTCCTTGCCCAAGGGAGCTAAGGAGTCGCAATCCCAGCCTCACCCTTCGCTGGTGTCAACGACTCCTTCCCCCACCTTGTTACCTCGAACCCAGATGCACATATCTCCATTTGTTCACATGACTGTTTGAGAGGGAGGTCTCCTACCGGCACGGACGACGGTCTGCTTACGTTGGAATTTTTGTTTTGGCATACCTGGGCGGGTAAATCCCAGCTAAATCCAACGACACGATTCCGAGCGATTCCGTCCTTCGCATCGCACAGACGGGATCAGTCACGAATTGCTCGGACGAGGAAGGTGTAGCTTGCGCTCACCATGGCTTCTGAAGCGTCGGTTGATGCGGGTAGGTTGCAGAACCCTTCCTTTACAGATTGCCGATTTGGCATTGCTCAGTGTCGGGTTTGCGACAATGCAACGCTCGCATTCATCTTGGGCAGCGGCAGGAGCTAATGGAATCATGGTCAGGGGCGCCCAACCTCAACCTCACCCCGGAGGAGAAGCGGGTATACGGGCAGTTATTTCGACAGGCCGATACCGATAATGTGGGCGTCGTAACGGGCGAGGTCGCTGTCAAGTTCTTCGAGAAGACGAGATTAGACTCGAGGGTGCTGGGAGAGGTGAGTCTCGGAAACACGCGTGCTCCTGGTCGGGGACGTCCCGAGCATACCTATACAGAACTGACGGTTACCTTCCACACAGATATGGCAGATTGCGGATAAGGAGAACCGGGGTTTCCTCACACCCGCCGGCTTCGGCATCGTTCTGCGTCTTATTGGGCATGCGCAGGCCGGCCGCGAGCCGACACCCGAGGGTGCGCTTCAACCCGGGCCCCCTGCCCAAGTTTGATGGCATCACGACAACTCCCGCGCCGTCGCCTCCGCCACCCGCGCTTCAGTCCCAAGCGACCGGCGCTCCGGGCCCGATTCGGATCCCGCCCCTGACACCCGAGAAGGTCACACAATACTCGGGCTTGTTCGAGCGCCAATCCCTTCAAAATGGTAGCATGCTCCCGGGCGAGGCGGCCAAGCAGATCTTTGAGAAATCGGGTCTCCCGAACGATGTCTTGGGCCGCATCTGGATGCTTGCCGACACGGAGCAGCGTGGTGCCTTAGTGCAGACCGAATTCGTCATCGCGATGCATCTGCTCACATCTGTCAAGACTGGCTCGCTACGCGGGCTGCCCAACATCCTTCCTGCCGCCCTTTACGAGGCCGCCACGCGCCGTGGCCCGGCTGGCGCCAGCATCCAGAGGCAACAGTCCCCGACCACCAACGCGCCGCCCATTTCGGCCGTTCCGAGGCAGCTTACTGGGCAAGGGCCCGTCCCACAAATGCGAACGGGCAGCCCCCTCGGGCGTCCGCCGATCGTAGCGCAGACGACGGGAGAATGGCTGGTTACGCCGGCCGACAAGACGAGGTTTGATCAGCTATACGAGGAATTGGACAAGACGAAAAAGGGCTTTATCACAGGCGAGGAAGCAGTGCCGTTCTTTAGTCAGTCGAATCTCTCGGAGGATGCACTCGCTCAGATTTGGGATCTCTCAGACATCAACTCGGAAGGTCGCTTGACAAGGGACGAGTTCGCTGTCGCCATGTACCTCATCAGGCAGCAGAGGACCAAGCGCGATGGCTCGGCCTTGCCTGCTACCTTACCCTCTAACCTTGTTCCTCCAAGCATGCGGACCCAGCAGGCTCGTCCACAAACGGCCACCTCGGCGTTCGAACCTCCGCCGCGACCGCAACCACCGCAACCCAAGCCTTCTGCGATGGATGACCTGTTCGGCTTGGATGATATCCACCCTCCTGCCCCGCCACAGGTCCCCGTCGGCACGGGTGGATCTGCTGGCGATCCGTTTGCAACTAGTATTAGCCCGCACGCCCCGTCCTCGCCTGCTAGGCCCTCGCCTTCGGCATCAACCTTTAAGCCGTTTGTTCCGTCATCCTCGTTCGGGCGCGGCCTTACCACTCATGTTACCGGAGGCTCCAACACGTCGGCCAGTGCCAAGCCCGCTACCGTGGAAGACGACCTCCTAGGCGACACCGAGCCGGAAGTGAGCAAGAACCTGACGAACGAGACTACGGAGCTTGCAAACTTGTCGAACCAAATTGGCTCCCTCACCAAGCAGGTACAGGATGTGCAGGGCCAGCGCACAGCCAACCAGAATGAGCTGAGCCAGTCCAGCGCCCAGAAGAAGAACTTTGAGCAGCGCCTAGCGCAGCTTCGCGCCATGTACGAAAAGGAGGCCCAGGACGTCCGCGCCCTGGAGACGCAACTCACGACATCGAAGAACGAGACCAAAAAGCTGCAGGCCGAGTATGCCATGATTGATGCCAGCTATCAGGACCTCCAGAACCAACATCGACAAGTCGTCACGGCGCTCCAAGCGGACCAGCAAGAAAATGCCAACCTTAAGGAGAAGATCCGAACCATGAACGCCGAGATTGCGCAGCTGAAGCCGCAGATCGAGAAGCTCAAGTCTGAGGCGCGCCAACAAAAGGGGCTCGTTGCGATTAATAAGAAGCAGCTGGCCACCAATGAAGGCGAGCGGGACAAGCTGAAGAACGAAGCCGAGGATCTCACTAAGAGCAACGAGGAACTAGCTCGGCAGATCAGCTCTAGCAACTCGCCACCTCCGGCCCAGGTCGCCAGCCCCGCGCTGTCCACTGCGAGCGCTAATAACCCTTTCTTCAGGCGGACTGGCAGCACTGACATCACCTCGACCTTCTCCCCGCCCATTAGGTCGTTCACTGACAAGGCTTTTGACGATGTCTTTGGCCCTGGCCCTGCCCGTCCTGGTAGCCAGGCAGGCACGCCACCTCCGCCCGCGGCGGCTGCCATGTTCAAGCAGAACACAGGCACCTCCACCGGTAGCGTCGGCTCGTTTGCCACGCCTGCGTCGGCCAGCCCGAATGCTAATCGCCAGCCGACCGTCACCGCTGAGCCTACATCGCTGGCGGAGGCTGGGCGCAGCAACTCTGGCTTCCCGCAGTACGTTGATGCCGCGGAGTCGCTGAGCACATCCCGCCAAGTTTCGCCGCCGCTGAGCCGAACCGAGACCAACCAGGAGGGCACCGCCTCTCCCCTAGAGCCAGCGAAGACCGGGCAGAGCTTCGCTTCGGGTTCCGGGTCCAGGCCTGCCTCTCCCGTATCGGCCGCCGAAGCTAAGCCCGCGTTCGGCTCCATCTCAGAGGAGTCGAACAAGCCCCCCGCGTCCGGTGCCGAGGGTGACCCGTTCGCTGCCGATCAGGACAAGGCGAAGGAGGACTTTGAGTCCGCGTTTGCCAGCTTTAAGCAGGCCAGGGCCGCGACGACCTCGAGCGCTGACACTGCCAAACCTTTCACCGCCTTTAACAGCGAGTTCCCTCCCATTTCAGAGCTCGAGCGGGACGATGAGTCTGAGACGGAGAGTGAGCGCGGCGGTTTTGATGATGACTTTGCTCCCGCGTCGCCACCGGCCAAGCCGGTTGAGAAGAGCATCGAGTCGAGGTCCGCGTCTCCTGCCGTGTTCAAGACCGCGCCCGATGCAGGCGCCGGGGTTGCTTCTCCCGCTTCCCCTGAGCCGGTTGCGAGGTATGCATGAGTTCAGTCTTAGCTATCATGTCCATCTAGTGTACTCCAAAATATTATTCAATTGATCAAGTTAACACCCTCGCAGCGACAAACCTGTTCCCGCCGCTTCGCCGTCCGCCGATCTTAGCAACCTCAGCTCCTCCAACATCAACGACATCTTTGGCTCCTCCAACGCGGCTCACCAGCCCACCGCCGCCACTGCCAGCAATGCTAGCCGCCCCACAACGGCTGCCACGGCTTCCAAGGCCCCCTTCGACGACCTCGAGGACGACTTTGAAGGCCTGGAGGATGCCAAGGAGGGCTCCGCCGACGACGACTTCGCCACCATCTCGCGCTCGGGTCTCGACGACTTTAACCCCGTCTTCGACAGCAGCCCGCCCCCGAGCCAGGCTAAGAGCGACTCGGCGCATCCGGGCGGCGGCGTTACCTCGTTCGGCACGGAGAGCAGTTTCGATTTCGGCTCGCTCTCGGGCACGTCTGCCGCGGGCAGCACCGCCGGGCCGCCGCCGCCCAACGTGTCCTTCCCGAGCACTAGCGGGGGCAACACGCAGGCCAAGCCACCTGCCACGTCGCAGCCGCAGGGCCAGGCGGCCGAATCACACGATTGGGACGCGCTGTTTGCGGGCCTGGACTCGGCCACCCCGACCGCTTCATCGCATACCCTCGCTACCAGCACCAATGGGCCTGATGCGGCGGGGGACGGTAATGGAAACGGGGAGGCCGGCGCGGCCACGGGTGCTGGCGGAGATAACAGCCGGCCCGCTGCCCCGGGCAGGGCTCTTACGGAGGAGGGTGAGCACGACGACCCGATTCTGAAGAACCTGACCGGTATGGGCTACTCGCGCGGTGATGCGCTGGCCGCGCTGGAGAAGTACGATTACAACCTGGAGAGGGTAAGTAGCATCACCAATCCTGCCGCTGTTGTTTCCAGGACGGGGATGAGGAAGAAGGGGATGCGGGTGGCTTAGTGGGCGTTTTTCTCGTCTTCGTTTTTCCTTTTCTGGTATTCCCTTCTGAGTGTCTGGATGATCTGATTGATGGATGGACGGCTGACGGTTTTCCTTGTGAACAAATTGTAGGCCGCGAATTATTTGGCCAGTCAATCGTAGGCCTGCGTAGGTCTTGCTGAGTGGTTATTCTGGGGAGGGTGGTTCTCTTAAGGGGTGGGGGGAGGACTTGTCGATCCTATGGTTGGTGGAGGATGAATGGTTGGTTGTGGTGGGCTGAAGTGCAGAGGAAGCCGGGGAGTGGCTGAGAGCCAACCAGCGAGTGGTGGGCGATGTTGTTGAGTGATACCTTTTTTTTTCTCCTTCCGTTTTTACTCCTTTCTCCCCTGTCCCCTTTCGGTCCTCTCGCTGTTTCTCTTTCCCTTTCCTTTTGTCTCGTCTTAACCTTTCTTCCTTGCGCAAGGCTCGATGAGTTGCATGTTGTGGCACTGCTTTGTACCCGTCCATTCATTTGATAATCTTAATATCTCTGTGTCTGAATTGTTGTTGGAGCGGTGGTGCTGCGCAAGATGTGTATAGTGGTAGTGTAGTTAGTGTACACATTGTATTCTGTAGGGGATAGTACTATCAACGTTATTCAGTTGCACACTCCGCGATGCCGTCGTGAGTGTTTATGTGTGGATGACCGGCCGTTGCCAAGACGGAGGCGTGGGGCCGCAAACGGAACCCCGCGCCAGCGGAGCATTTGCCCCTCCAAATTCTTTTTCTGCCTCCAAACCAACAATCGTCGAGTCACGTCAACCCTGCATTTCAAGCATACCGGCCCTTTACCAAACCGACCCGGCGCTATACGTAAAACGAGCGAAATACCGATCAACAACATGGCCGACGACGAGCAGTTTTCCATCTACGACGAGGTCGAGATCGAGGACATGACCTACGACGAGACCCTGCAGATCTACCACTACCCGTGCCCCTGTGGCGACCGCTTCGAGATTGCGCTCTACGACTTGATGGACGGCGAGTATATCGGCGTGTGCCCGAGCTGCAGCTTAATGATTCGAGTTATTTTTGATCTGGTAGGTCTCTTCAATGTGGCTTAGGCCGTGTTGCGACGGGAGATGGAGGGATGGCTGACATTAGGGATAGGATAACCTGCCGAAGCCGCCTGGTCAGAACGGTGGCGAGCAGGTTGCTGCTACTGCTTAGGCGCCACTAGACAGGCCGACGATATTGTGATGTGGGGGGACGGGGAGGGAGCTTGATCAACGTAAACAAACTAAGCATGGCCGGCCGCGACAGAGTGTGCAGGCAATTCGTTACTGCACCCCGATCACACCCATCACCAACCGGTTCAGGAGGTTACAACCATTAAGTGTATGAACGCTGGGACGAGCGAGAGAGACAACGGAGGAGAAGATACACTACGGCGCCCAACTACCGACCTTCCATCGAACCAATCCCCCTACCACATAGCTCACCGCGCCAACTCCCAACCCTCCCCCCCACCCTCTCCCAGTCTCCCAGCCTCCCATCCTCACCTCCGCACCCTCCGCAAACGCAAAGCGGCCCCCTGCAGGTCGTGGGACCGCGCCCATACACACACCCACCTGGCCAAAGCCAAAGCCAAAGCCAAAGCCAAAGCTACAGCAGCGCCGCCATGCCCATGGCCACACCCGCCGCCGCAGCAGCCAGCCCAGCCAGCGGAACTTGCGCGCCGAGGGCGTTGGCGCCGGCGACGGGCACGACGGTGGCGGTGGTGGTGGCGGTGGAGGCTGGGTGGGAGAGGGGGGGGTTAGCTTCTTGGTTTTAATTGGTTGGTTGTGTTTGCTTTTTTTTTTTTTTTTGGTCTTTGCTAGTGGGGAAAAAGGGCGATGTAGACGGCGTGGGTGGTGGGCTTTTGGGGTGGTGGTGGTGGTGGTCGGGGGAGGACGAGGAGTGGGGCGGGTGCGAGGAGGAAATAGTTGTAGTGGTATAGTGGGAGTAGTGGTAGGGGGGAAAAGAAGGGGGACATACTCGAAGTGGGCGAGATGACGACCATCGAGGGAGTCATGGTCGTGGTGGTGTACTCGATCGTCATGATGGTGGTGATGACAATGCCTGGGGCCGTCTCGGTCGACACGTCGGTTGACGTCATGGTGGTCGTGTCGGTGTCGGTGTCGATGATGCTCTGCGCGGTGGCCAGCCCCGTGAAGAGGGTGATGAGGAAGGGTGAGGGCCGCATGATGGCTGCTTAGTTCCGGATGTTGGGAGGGGATTTTTGCAAGGCTTTGTGGGTGGGAAATATAGCTTGGGTATGGGATATTGTGGTAGGGGTAGAGGAGTGAGAGTCCAAGGACAGAGAGATGGAACAAGTTGCGAGGGGGATGTGCTAGTAATAAGGCTCACTCTGTCGCCCGTCTTCTGCCCCTCACCGGCCGTCCTGTTGCGCTAAAAGAGGGAGCTGAGCTCATAGCTGTAATATGGACCGAGTCAGGTAAGTTGCACATGCGTTCTGCCCTCCCAAGTTCAGGGATGGGTTGTCTTGTGTCGAGAGCGTCTGCCAAGGCCTCTGGCTTTCATCTCTTCATGACAGAAGACAAGAGGGAGTATTACCTCACCATATGGACATCCGGCTGAGTAACCAACCATACCCTATCCACAACTTTGACATGCACAGAGTTCACTCCCATGAGTTACAATTCGTTAGACCAGTGCCCAATTCGAGAAAACAATGGTCTTCTAGTATTGCATGATGTCTATCACATTGCATACCTACGGCCGCATTTTCTCGTCCGCGGCCGTAATCTGTTCAGGTAGTAGAGCCACTTAACTAGCACACATGACCCCAACATCCGAAGTCCCCGATCCCCGATCCAACAACCCCTCTTTCGGGTAGCCACTACGGAGGTAAACTACGTAGATAAGCCACGTCAGAACCGGCCACGGCCCTTGTATGTACCTACAGCTTCCACAGCGACTTAGACATTCTCAAAGAAGAAGCTCGGCTGTCCCGGCAGGGCTGACTCGGCTACGGGCGCCTTGATCTCGACCTCCTCGCCGTTGGCGGTCAGGTCTTTGCCGTTCTTGCTACCCTCCTCGACGGCCAGGATCTGTACCGACTCGAGACCGGCGGCGCGCTTCAGGCCGGGGACCATTGCCTAAAGAGAGAGGAGGGAGGGGTTAGTGTTAAAGAGATAACGTCATCGAATGGCCTCTATGTGGGGTGGGAGGGGGAGGGGGAAGAAGGAAACTTACCAGAAGGGTCTTCCCCTCATCAAAGGCCAGCTTCCGTTCCAGCACGGCCTCGGCGGGCTCGCCGTCCCTTAGGCGCTTCTTGAGGGCCTGGACAAAGGGCATGGCCTTCTTCATCTCGCCCATCTTGCCGATGCGGCCGTTGAGGGTCTTGTCATCGACGCTTTGGGTGTTGGTGACTGGATCCCACACCTCCTTGAGCAGCTCAATGTACTTAGCCTGCCAGGCCGGGAATGACGCCGTCGTAAAAACGGTCAGCTTCTTGGGCTTCTTGGGGTCGAAGTCGCTCTGGCGGCCCTTGGCCATCTTCTTGAGCTGCGCTGCCTCGGCCGAGTTGATGTTGGATGACGTCTGCCGGACGTACTCGCGCGCCGCGGTGAGGGCCGGGTCGGCGGCAGGCACGTCGGGCCAGACGGCCGTCTGGATGGACTTGGGCTCGCCGAGGATCTCCAACCACACGTATTCGGCCCAGTGAGGCGCGATGGGTGTGAGAATGAGGGCTTGGAGCTTGATGTACTTGAGGGCGAGTTCCTTGTGGAGCGGGATGCCGGCGGCGTTGCACGCCTCGCGGTACATGTCACGAGCGTTGAGGAAGTCATAGTGTGCGGCCTTGAGGGCGAGTTTGTATGAGGTCTCCTCGTAGTGCTTCCTGGCCTCGTGCACCAGAGCGTTCATCTCGTTGTCGAACAGGGCATCTTGGAAGTCGTTGAGCGGCCCTGTGCGCAACTTGTCGTCCTTGATAGTCTCCTCGATCCATTCCTTGTTGGTGTAGAACCTCAGGATGGTGTTATCGGCGACATCTTCGACGAAGTTGGAGTCTGAGATTCCGTCACCAGCGTCGGCGAGGGCCACGCGTGCGGCGTCCGCACCATATTTCTGCACGACGTCGTTCAGAGTCATGAAGTTGCCCGTCGACTTGCTCATCTTCTCGCCGTTCAGCTGCAGGTGACCGTTGGCGCGGACCGAGCGAGGCCAGTACTCGCGGGGGAAGAGAGCTGCACAAATTAGCAAGGAGCGGTGGCCCACATTGTTGTGATGGCGACTTACCGATATGGTTGTACAGCCAGAAAGTAAGATGGTTGGGGATGAGATCCTTGCCACTGCATCGGATGTCAAGCGGGTAGAAGTATTCGAAATCTCTCCTCATGCCCTCCAGCGTCTCCTTGGGGATACCAGACTTGGAAGCGAGGTCGTCGGACAGTTGTGTCCGGCAGAAGATGTAGTCCCAAACCTCATCGAGCATCTGCTCGGGATTGATGTTACCCTTGCCCCTGTACATGGATTAGTAGACTGGACTTAAAGAAGCGAAGAGCTGCGTAACTTACTTTTCCTTACCAAACAGGTCGGTGTGCAGCCATGGTACGAGGGTATAGTAGCTAGCAGTGTCAGCCCGAGGACCTTTAATCACTTCAAGTTCACTTACGACATGTAGATAGTAGAGTCACTGTTTTACTGTTAGTTTCACTGAATTTGCGCCTTCACCGGTGATCTTACCTCAAACTCTCAACCAGGAAGCTGTGGTCCCAAGGCAGCTTGGACCCCAGGCCGTATGTCCGGGCGCAAGCCCATTGCCTGAGCCAGTTGAGGACACCCTTGAAAGCATGTTGGGTGTCGGGGGAGTAAGTCTCAAGGCCTTTGCCGTCCTTGTTCTCGACATAGTCGTAGGCAATATGGCGCCAGCTATCCTCACCATAGTCAAGATACCATTGGTCGAGCAGGGCAACAGTGCTATGACAAGTTAGTTAGTTGTCGGAGGAACTGCAGATGGTTCGGATGAACCTACCATTCATCGCCGGATCGTGACGAAACCTTGTTTTCAGGCTCGGAGTAGGCAAATGCCTCGCCGTTCTTGATCAATTGATCCCTGACCTTCGGCTTGGCAATCTCAACCTTCTCCCCCTTGAAATCGCCCACCTTCATGACGCCCTGGTAGAAGCCCTCCTTGTAGGCGAGCTCCTTGGCTTCGAGGAGTTGCTTGGCATCCTTGGGCGAGGCAATCTTGAGCTTCTTAACCAGATACGGAGCCAAGAGGTCGGACGTTGGAGTTTGAATGATGGGAGTGATCTCCAGCTCGGCCCACTCCTTCTTGATACCGTAGAAGTCGGCCTTCTTGGCGAGCTCGGTGACCATGGCGTAGTCATCCGGCGAATCAGACGGCACAGATGTGACGACGCCGGTACCCTTGGTAGCGAGGACGGACTCCATGGGGAGAACGCGCACCTGGGGGTGGAAGCTAAGAGGCGCATTCACCAGGGTTCCGATGAGGTCGGAACCCTTGATATCCGCCGCCTTCTCCGGCACACCCTCCCTCTCGAATATGCCCTGGTAGGCCATATTCCTGGCGGCCCTCTCGGTGATGACGAAGTACTCCTTCTCCGACGCCTTGAAAATGCCGTAGCTCAGACCGGGGCCGACGAAGCAGCACACCTGGCCGTACATGGTTTCGGGCCTGAGGGTTGCGGGGCAGAGATACACTGACGCGTCCTCGGGGATCTTGCCCTTGAGGGCCTCGGCGGCTTGGGGAGCCCACTCCAGCACCTTGAGCTTCAGGGCGGTGTATTCCTGGGGCAAGACACCCTCACCTTCACTACGGTCGTGGTCCATGCAAGGCTGGCCGTCCTTGATGGAGTAGATAGTATACCTCTTGCCGAACTTGACCTTCTCCAGCTCCTTCAGACGATTCATCTGCCACCGCACGAAGGCATCGTAGTAGGGGTTCGCATCGGTCGTGACAAACTGGCGGCGCCAGTCGACGCGCGCACCGAAGTTTGTCAGGTCTTTCTTGCATTCCGGCGGGAAGTAGTGCAGCCAGTGTTGGGGATCGGCAAACTTGTGGATCTCGTCGAGCGGGATGCCGACCGAGTTCAGGATCTGCCACTGGTACTTTGCCTTGACCGTCTTTGCGGCGGCCTTGCCCTTCTTGGCGTTGAACTTGGTCAAGTCCTCCTTTCCCGCCTTCGGCGCCGCATCGGCAGGGGCCGCGTCGACCTCCTCCTCTTGCTCCTTGTAGAGTTCGAAGTTCTTGCCGAACATGCTAACCTCCTTGACGAGCTTGTCGGCAGAGGCCTTGATAGGCAGACCGGTGCAGTGGTAGCCGAGCGGGAACAGGGCACGCTTGCCCTGCATCCTGGCAAAACCGGTGTGGAATTCGATCTTGCTGACGCTGAATGCATGGCCGGCGTGGAGACGGCCGTTCATGTAAGGGTAGGCGATGGTGCCGAAGAACTTGGGGAACTTCTCACGGAGCTCGTCGGCGCTGATGGCGTCGAGGGGGAACTCGTCAATGGAAGGCGCATCAATCTCGAAAACGCCATCTTGTTGCCATTTTGCTTGGTACTTCTTCTCGATCTCGACGAGGCTGTCGCGCTTCTCGGTGCCCTTTAGCTCCTTTGTCTTGGAGACAGCGAGGTCGGCCATGGCCTTGGGCAGTGCTGTGTCGGCCATCTTTATTCGGGACTCGGGTGTGTTCAAAAAATTGGCTGCGTAATCCGCTCCGAACGCCGCCAGGAACAGCAAATCGGGCCTGTGTCGCGTGGTTCTCTTCAAGTCACGGTAAATTTTAAGAGTGACTCCGCTGTTTTTGGCGGCCCTCCGTTCCAGATGGAGGGGCAACGCGGGGTTGATTCGGCTTCCAGCGTTCCAGGGGTGCGGGCGAAAGGTGTGGGGCTAGAAACCGATGGTTTGAATGCACGCACGGGCACATTATGGTGGTCTGACGCCCAGGCCAACTTTTCTCTCGACACACACACATACACAAAATTTATTCCGCCCGGCGGGCCTAACCCGAAAGGGCAACTATCACGCAATCTACTAATACATAACAGCTTCTTACAGTAGAGACCGAATTCAGTGTCCAGATATTCAATGTTGAAAGATTGTCCGAACGGACAGTGCCAGGGGAGCTGAGGCCCACACGGTGCGCCGGCAACCAACTTTGTAGAGCGACCAGCGCGCTGTGAAAATGGCCGCAGCTGAGACATGGCGGCACAATATCCACTAGCCATTTTCAGCGCCAACAAAACAGAAAACGCACGACCGACCTGGGCACTTAGGGATAACTAAGAATGTGATTATATACATAGCGTTGGCTAAAAGGACAACCCGAGAGTCATATAAGTAGTTTTTCGGAGCCATATATATTATATGCGGCGGTGATCTGACGCTGTGTGGTCGTCGGTGCTGAGTCGTTAGCTACGCTACGCCACACTGGCTGTGGCTGGGGGACAGCTGAGATTGAAGAAGTTCAGCCGCAAGACCACCCTGACAGCGAAACATCATACCAACAGCTGACTGTTCTACAGTACTGTAACTGTAATCTGTATATAGACAATCAATCGACTCGATCGCCAACGATAGCACAAATGTCTGCGTCTTTCGGGTCCAACCACCATGGTCTCCAGGTAGGGTACAATTATGGGTCGATCGAGTTCCCCCCGCCGGGTAAGATTACCGTGGCACCGTGCAGAGCCGATGGGATGCCCCACTAATGTTCAGATCTCAAGAAAGACGGGAAACGCCGCCGATTCCCTTCGCGACCATCCCCTTCTCCCGCGACCCGGATTTCGTCAACCGTGGAGACATTCTCGATCAAATCGACGAGCGCTGTTCCGAGCTGTCCGGCCGTGTGGCCCTCGTGGGCCTGGGCGGTGTCGGCAAATCGCAGTTGGCCATTGAATATGCGTACCGGATCGCCGCGGGGCATCTTGACAGATGGGTATTTTGGGTCCACGCCGGCACGCAGGCGCGTGTCGAAGAGGGTTTCAGAAAGATTGCCGACGACGTCAAGCTACCAGGCCGAAACCAGCCCGGGGCCGACATCCCACAGCTTGTCTACGGCTGGCTGTCCAACGAGCGGAACGGCAGATGGATCATAATCCTTGACAGCGCCGACGACCGCAATGTATTCTACAGTAGCGACAACGTATGCAACAGGAAACCATTTGCAGACTTCCTACCACAGAGTCGAAACGGGTCGATCATCATCACAACACGCAATAAGGACCTGGCTTCCAGGCTGACCGGACGCCGCCAAAACATCATCGAGGTCGGACCGATGGTGCAGATGGACGCCCTCACGCTCCTGGAGAGGAAGCTGGGATCAATCCTGAATACCGATGCGGCAGCCAAGCTTGTACGCGCGCTCGACTTTATTCCGCTAGCCATCAGCCAGGCTGCCGCCTACATACAGGCAAGGGCACCGCGAAGCTCTCTCGAGAAATACCTTTCTGAGTGCCAGGAGTCTGAGCGCAAAAGGAGCAGGCTTTTAGAGCATGATGCTGGAGACCTACGTCGGGATGGAGGCGCGTCGAACGCGATTCTCACGACATGGCAGATATCTTTTGACCATATTCGGTCTGAGCGGCCTTCTGCGGCGGATCTCCTTTCGTTTATGAGCTTTTTTGATCGACAAGGCATTCCGGAGTCGCTCCTCAAGTCCTCTAAGCAGACCAAAACCGCAACTCGAGCAAGTGGTTCCGAAGATGCAGAAGACTCAGGATCCGACAGCAGCGATGACGAGATGGACGGTCGGTTCGAAGACGATGTGGCAATATTACGGGACTACGATCTTATCGTCGTGAATGAGGCGGGGGACCAGTTTGAGATGCATGGGCTCGTGCAGCTGTCGATGAGGAAGTGGCTGGAAACGTTTCGGCAGCAGGAGACGTTCAAGCAGCAGTTCATCGAGCAAATGGCAGCGTCATTCCCGACAGGGGAGTACGAGAACTGGGTGAAGTGCTGGAGTCTCTTCGCGCACGTTCAAGTGGCCCTTGGTTACCAACCCAGCGAAGAGACAGTCGAAATATGGGCGACACTTTTGCATAACGGGGGATGGTATGCATGGTCGCAAGGGAGATATGAAGTTGCAGAGCAGATGCTAGGCAAGGCGAGAAATGTTCGCAAGAAAAAGTTGGGTGCAGAGAATATGGCGACTCTTGCAAGTATATCACTATTTGCTCTGGTCCAAATGGACCGCGGCCAGTGGGAGGAGGCCGAGAAGCTGTTTTGTGCAGGTGATTGGAGACGAGCAAGACCAAGCTCGGGGCCGACCACACTTACCACGCTGACGAGCATGGCCAACCTGGCATCGACATTTTGGAACCAGGGCCGGTGGGAGGAGGCCGAGAAGCTGGACGTGCAGGTGATGGAGACTCGCAAGACCAAGCTCGGAGCCGACCACCCAGACACGCTGACGAGCATGGCCAACCTGGCATCGACATTTTGGAACCAGGGCCGGTGGGAGGAGGCCGAGAAGCTGGAGGTGCAGGTGATGGAGACTCGCAAGACCAAGCTCGGGGCCGACCACCCTTCCACGCTGACGAGCATGGCCAACCTGGCATCGACATTTTGGAACCAGGGCCGGTGGGAGGAGGCCGAGAAGCTGTTTGTGCAGGTGATGGAGACGAGCAAGACCAAGCTCGGGGCCGACCATCCAAACACGCTGACGAGCATGGCCAACCTGGCATCGACATTTTGGAACCAGGGCCGGTGGGAGGAGGCCGAGAAGCTGTTTGTGCAGGTGATGGAGACTCGCAAGACCAAGCTCGGAGCCGACCACCCAGACACGCTGACGAGCATGGCCAACCTGGCATCGACATTTTGGAACCAGGGCCGGTGGGAGGAGGCCGAGAAGCTGTTTGTGCAGGTGATGGAGACTCGCAAGACCAAGCTCGGGGCCGACCACCCTTCCACGCTGACGAGCATGAACAACCTTGCGTTTACTTGGAAAGGTCAAGGTCGACACACAGATGCTTTGGCATTGATAGAGGACTGTGCTCAGGCTCAGCAGCGAATCCTTGGCGCAGACCATCCATACACTCGGTCGTCCTTGGCCACTGTAGCCAAGTGGAGTAGCTAGATACCGGTTTTCCTTTTTCTTTTTCTTTTTTTAAAGGTATTGTGTGACGAACCTGTCTCTGGACCCGTCCTGTTAGGGTTCAGCTTCGGTTGAAGGTATTCTCTCAAGGGTGCTTAGGTTCGGTGCAGCCAAAAGGTGCACAACAAAGACTTGTCTCAACAGTAGGCTCTCGAGCTTGTAGCGAACTGTATTTGTGATTGCTAACTGGAGAACTCCCAGAGCTCTCCAGAACGAGTGACTACCTATATACTATCTCGGCCTCTAGGTACCTTCGTACCTCTGCTCCTGGATTGTCTTATCTATCTAACGATCCTGTTCTGACTGGTTACTCTGGGATGGTGAATTCCTCTTCACGATCCGTCCCTGATTGGCCGATGCCGCTCCCAGCGCGGTCCCGCTTGGTTATGCGACCATAACCGTGACATATTGTCACCGACCCTGCAAGTGCACAATACTATATCTATCGGGTTGTCACCTTCACCTAAGGTTATGTATGTATATAACCATATTTTATGATTCGTATACAACTTCGCACGTCCAACGGCGCCTAAAACGGCTAGTTAATGCATTTTGTGCTTGCGACATTTCAGCTGCAGCCAGCTTTGCAGCTCACTGGTCACTCTACGCTGTGGGCTGCCACGCACTGTGTGAGTCACAATCACTTCCAAAACTGGCCTGACTGACAATCTTTGAACCTTGAAAATCTGGACACTGATTTCGGTCTCTACTGTGCCAGGTTGGCTAACAGTTCCCGGTTGGCTTACAATCATCGTAACACAGCGTGTACACGAGCGCGTGCGAGGGCACACGGTGGTGTGGATGGTTAGATGCATAAATGGTCCGTGCGACAGAAAGATGTGAAAGAGAAAAGCGGAAGCCGATTTCGCTAGCGACTGTCTCTCTCATCGGCAACTCACTGATCACGATCGGGCCACGCGAGTTCATACTCGCCATGTTTCCCACCCTTGTACGGCGGCTAGCGCAGGCCACCAAACCACGGCTGAACGCGGCCGTCAGCAATCCGACGTACAAACTCAAGAAAGTATGGCCTCCTGACATTAAAAACATGACGTCGCAACAGCAACTGCGCTTCGAGAAGAAGTACAAGCGGAGACTCAAGCTCGCTACGGCCCGGCCACGGTGGGATAAGTTTGTCCGGTTAGCCCAGTTGTGCACAATGACGGGTAAGGTGGATGCCACCTCGAGGGATACTTTATAGAGTTCTAACGGTTATAGTTGTTCTCATATATGTCGTGCTCTTTATGGACTGGAAAGATGTCCCTACCCCATTTGATCCGGTGAGGCCCACTTCTATCAGTCTCTTGCGTGCAGCGAAAAGCTAACACTCCAAAGCTCCGTGAAAGAGTCCTTGGTTTCTTTGGTGTCTTTACCGAAGATAACAGGAAACTCAAGGTCAAGGGTAGGCCCGTCGATCAGTCAGTGAGCAAAGAGTGACGACGCATGCCAGCAGCCTGCGGTCTCAGCAGCCCTTCCCATCCTTGTATCATAGCTGTTCCATCACATGGAGTTCGGCGTTAAATACCCAGCAACACTGGCGCGGCGCTTGGCCGTGACGAATGCGGAATGCCGGTCTCGGCTTGGCAAGTCGTTCCTGACCTGATTGCAGCCCGGTGCGCGTCGCCCCCAGACTAGGCTATCCATAGATGCCGTGTTTCCCCAGCGGCGGAAACACCACTCTAATAATCCGTGACCAACTCCCTTCGCAACTGTCACCTCCCATGCCCAGACCATCCCACCCATCCCCAACCCAGCGCCCAAACTCCCACCCAACCCCCCACCAGCGCGGCCCTCATTCACCGGCCTCTTCGCCACCGTCCCCTGCGCCCTCACCCCGGCCACAATGCGCTCCATATTCGTCTCGATCACCACCCCGCCCACAATCATCTCCCCCAGGGTAGCATGCAGCGTCTCGTAGTTGAAGATCAGGTCCAGCTCGCAGACGTTCTCGAACAGCCGGTCCAGCGCCTCGACATAGACCTGGATCAGGTCGATCAGGGCCAGCGGCGACTCGGTCGACGTCGAGATGACGATGAAGTACAGCGTCGCGTAGTTGCGGTAGGTGACGAGGGACGGCACGTCGCTTTGTTCGTGGGCGGCGCTGTTGGTGTTGGTTGCTGTGGAGGAGGCGGCGAGGAGCGGCGGGAGCGGGAGGAAGTTGCAGGAGCCCGGGGGGCGGTTGGAGACGAGCGTGAAGATTTCGGAGATGAGGCGTTGTTGGATCGAGGTGTCCTGTTAAGGGGAGGTTAGTGGGGGGTGGGGTGAGTTTGGTGGGAAGGAGGGACGGACAAGTTGGGTATAGAATTTGGTTAGGCGTGGCTGGCCTTGGCCGTTGAAGACGAGGAAGGCGTTGATCATGATTTGGGCGTTGTTGGACTGAATGTAGTGGTGGCGTTAATTTCGGGTGGCCATGCCTTTTTCCGTTGGGTCAGGTGTGTCGAGTCTGGGAGTCGCGAGGAGGAGTCGTGAGCTTCCGACCCGTTCCTGAGAAGACGGCGGGGATGACGTGAGGCGGGCTTGGCGGGCAACCCCGGAGCTTCAAAGAATGTGGCTCGTGCGCGAGGATTTCATTTTGTCTAATTGGTCCCAAACCTTGAAGTTGGATTTGCCTGCCGGCAATTGACATCTGAGTGGGGCTTTCCCATCTGAAGCTCCGGCTCCGTTCGCTCAGCTTGCACCTGCTTCCCCGCGAACGCCGAGCAAACAATGGTGCTATAATCGTCTGATTCGGCAAACTCAGGCTGGGCAGTATCTCGAAGTACTCAATTTCCTTTTTTCTATCCCAGGAGGTCGAATCATCACGACTCAATTCCATCAATTTGCGAGTTTCCATGGCGCACTCGAATGCTTCCACACTTGCCCGGGTCGCATACCGTGGCTTGCAGGCCACACGAGCCGCGCGCATGGCAATCCCGGTTGTCTCTGCGGCTCCTGCGATTTTTAAGTATGAACCTAGGCCCACGATCGGTCTCACAACCCGCCGGGCCATATCGAGCACCTCCGGCCGCAAGGGCATCACACCGGACGACAAGCCATCAAAACCCGTGGAAACACCCCCTGTGATTAGGACGCCCGCCGACATCAATGATAGCGAATACCACGCGGTCGCAGACGAATATCTCGATAAGCTTCTCGCCCGGCTAGAGGCGATGCAGGACCAGCGGGAGGACGTCGATGTCGAGTTCTCCGTAAGCCACCCACATCTCCAACCCTCTCCACTTGCTAATTACTCTCTCAGGCTGGCGTCTTGACCCTCGACCTCGGCCCCGAAGTCGGTACCTACGTGATCAACAAGCAGCCACCCAACAAGCAAATCTGGCTGTCTTCCCCAAAGACGGGTCCCAAGCGCTACGACTACGTTATCCTTGGCGAGGGGCAGCATGAGAAGCAGGACACGGCGACCGGTGATTGGGTGTACCTCAGGGACGGTTCTACCCTGGACCATCTACTTAAGACCGAGATTGGCGTCGCCTTAGGCGTTCCTGACCTTGATGGCTAGCGGCCATAGGCGGTGTTTGAGAGCGGGTTAGGCACATCTCGACGGGTGGGGTTTGGGAGCCGTGCTTTGATATTGGTTGAAGTATGTTGAGCGGGCTAGCCACAGCGATGGTTTGAGGATCCAATTCTTAAGTGGACGAACGAAGCGAGTTGTCCGGCCTGATGGGTCGCGGGGATCTGGTGTTGAAGTCTGTAAGATACTGAATCGACTGTCGAGTTGGAACCCGGTACTTTCGCCCTTTACTCCGTCTGGCATTTGCGCCTCCTGAAGTCACTACATCTAGTCTAACCAAGCAAAATAATAGCTTTGCCACGCTCCGGTACCCCATGGGCAAAAAAGAGGACCTTCAAGTGTAGCGATGAAATGTTCGACTGGAAGAGGGAACAAAAAGCCGAGCGGAAGCTCGAGGTGTACTTTTTCCTTGATTCGGTTTCTTATTTTTGATTTCGTTTGCTTAGTTTTTCTTATCCTTTTCTCCGCGCTTGATCCCCTCTCAGCCCCTCTACCCATCCTTTCCCGCTCATTTTCTTTTCTCTTTCTTCGAGTCTCTTTTACTTAGAGCTCCTACGTCCAACTTCTGGGGGGCTTGGAAAGTGTTTACGGATGGCGGGGGGGGGGGGGGGGGGGGGGCGGGGCCGCGGAAGTTTGTAGTATGTTGACGTCGCCGACTTAGACGGCCTGAACTTTTACTCCTGACCGTATTCACCCTATAAAGCCGGCATCTCCCACACAACAACATGGTCGGCATCATCGGGATGTGTCCACTTGGCCGGCCCTGACTCGGCGTCTACGGATCGCTGGTAGCTGCCCGGATGGTCGACGACAGCCACCTCCGCACCGTCCACCTCCGACTTCAAACCGAGAGGCCGTTAAAGAACTGCTGACCTAGTGGTGTGAGCCCCCCAACCAAGATCGGCATCGCACTCATTCCCCGGAAACGACGGAAACCCTGAATCAGCAGACGGTAGAGGGCATACCGCAAAGGGACTCCGCTCGTCAATGCGGGGAAAACCCAACAGTCGACGGGACATCGTGCATCCCTGATATTGCATCCCTGATATCTTCTGGTCTGTTGGCGCGGAACTGGAGGAGCAGGAGCGTTGCGCCCTCAAAATAGAACACCCGCGGGCGTTGGTATGTACCCGTGACTTGTCTGCATACCCACGCGTGAGCCGGGGAGGGGGGCCGCGGTTGAACTTACCCACGGAGTTTCTTGGATAGTTAGTTTCGTTTGACCAGGGGCGCCACCCAAGTAGCCTCGCTGCCACTGGTCGTTTTTGAACAGGCTTCGCTCCATTTCCCGATGGCGAGGACTGTGGCCAGGCATGCGCCGCCAATATCTGATAGGAGAATGGCTCTCGTATTCTCGTAGCAGAGTTCCCCGAAGAATTGGGGGACGAAGACTCCTTGTAACGGCCGCAGTTTTGCATAGGCGGCCTTCTCTGTCTCGAACTCCTGGTCCCAGCCTTCCTTCTGCCTTTTGAGGACGAGCTGGGCCGGAAGACTCCACTCTGGAAACCGCGATTCGAACTAGGTTTGTACGAAAGCCGGGAGTCTGTGAACGAGGGTTCCGAGTAACGTCTGTACCAGAGACGGCTGTAAGCGGAGACGGCAAACATTGTCGTGAATGCCATTGACAGGTGTGGCGGTTGCCTGAATGAAGCGGGTTCGGAAGCGAAATCGCTGTTTGACTCTTCATTTAGTAGGTGTTTGGAGGTAGCCAAGGTGAGGATCGTTTACAATTGTCTGCGAATCATAGACCGAGGCATGAGGGTTGTGTCGCAGTATGAGACGGCCTGGGGGACAGCGTTTCGGTGGCCGTGGGGTGACAACTGGTGGACCTTTGCGCAACCAGGCAAGGGCCTCGTCCATTTGTCGTCGGTCCATTTTACCTATGCTGTTGAAGGCCGGACGTGGGTGGCTTTGTGGTTGGGAATCCATTTGAGTTGAATTTCGACGCGCTGAGAAACTGTTCGAGGTGAGCGGTCACCTTGTTTAACGCGGTTGACGCGACTGCGATCCCGGGCTCATGGCGCACTGGAGTTGGCGCTTTCGTATTTCTATTTCTAGGGTTAGGGTTGTAATTGAGAATTTCATCTCCTTTGCTCGGTTTTCTTTGTCTCTTTCTTTTTTTTGTCCTTTTGCTTCTTTCCCGTTTCGCGATTGCTAGCTCCCCTTTCGAGTTTGGCGTTTTCTTTTCGTCTTTTCTTTTCGCCAGAGCGTGCCATCGTTCCACTCAGCTGATCACTAAACCATCAACTTCGATAACCTGATGTGGACCAGTGGCGCCACCGTCAGCGCTATTGAATCCTTGAAGACTAATGGGACCGCATGATACCCCATAGTTCGGTTATTTGTCCGCTCGGTTGGGTTTTGCAAATGCTAGATCGCGGGTGTGAGTAAGCCTCAGAGCAGCACCCTGGCTAAAACGGGCTGAACCGCCCATGGGATGAGTAAGACCCAGTTGCGACTCGACGAGGCGACTAGTATAGCAAGTCGAACTAGCTGGGCTGCCTAGAATCAATGCTACTTCGCCCAAGCGCCTATTCGGAGGAATGCAGAAACAGAGTCAGCGCCCACGCAGCTACATCCATCCACCGGGAGACCAGTTTGGCGGAGCCCGAGGGGCTAGACTTATGATTAGAATACATGTATAGGACGCAAACACTAAATGTACTTAAAGCGGATATCCCAACCAGACCGCGGCCAAGAATCCAGACCAGCACTTCCGTTCACTTCTTCTCTCTGGACATCAACTAGCAACAAGAAAAGATGGTTGGCCTCATGAAGCTTTTCGCCTCCGCGGCTCTTCTTGCCCAAGGTGCTCTCGCCGTTCCGACGGAGCTCGCCAAGAGGGGCGAGGGAATTCATCTCTTCAACTGCCGTCCCTTTGGCGGCGCCGGTGTTCCGCAGACCTGGATTTCCATTGTCGTGGTATGTACCGAAATAGGTTGATGTGGTTGTCATAATACTTACCCAGCCATAGTACTGCGCCAACGACTCGGACTGCAGCAGTTTGGGCTACAGCCCCCCCTCTGACAACGTCTGCGTCAAGGGGACCTCGACATCGTCTGAGGTTTACCACGTCTGGGAGGGCGGCAGCCAGTCGTGCACTTTCCCCACCGGCGTGACTTTTACCTGGAACATCCCGTCCGGCGCCCAGTCCCAGCCCAACTACTCTTCCGTCGGGTACGTTCTCGCTGTCCCCGGCCTGATGCCTTGGGATTTAATGCTATCAATGACCGGCTGACCATTCCTGTGCGTTTCATTAGGTCCGGCTCCAATGGCTACAGGAGTTTCGCTGGATTCAAGGACGACCATGTCAACGGTGCCAGCTACAACTACCACAGCTGCGAGAAGATCTACTATTACATTTAATGATTGGGATGGAGGAGAATTGTGACCTTTGTAAGGAAGGCTCTGCGGTGGGGTGTAAACGTCCATTCCTTCAACGCTGAGAGATTGATGTTTTACCCTGCTGTGACTTAGTGAGATCTAATTAGGTGTCTTTGTAAAAGACGGATTCTTTATCTCAAATCCCGACTGCCGAGTGGCCGCTATCTGCTTCGTTCCTGACCTGCCTAATACTCTGATGCCCTAGCCGCATACGTCGTAGTCACGGGCACTGATAGGCTTTCGTTATGTTTTCTCTCTCGTGTTTGGCTGTTTCTTTCCGATTGCCGTGGTGTGCCGCCCCCTTTTGCGTGCATGTATGATTGCTTACTGTCTGCGTTACGTTCAAGCTTTTGCCGTCACATTCTTTCACATATGCGGGTTCCCAAGAGGCTCGAACAGCTTGTAGTACGTTACAATAGATTGCTTGCGCAGGGTGCCGAGACAGGGCGCCCGGCGCCTAGGTACCTAGGTACCTGGTGGACAACAGTAGTAGCAGCTGTAGGACGGCTTCTTCGCAGAAGTTGTATTAGGGGCAGTTTATGGATGAAATTTTCGCTATATTCTACAGCATCTTCATCAACGGCTTAGATAGATGGGCTAAATAGGGAAAATCGGGACAATTTGAACCCGTCATAACTCGTAGGTCCTCTCTGTGATCATATCATACTGTGACACGAAGCCATCCTCATGCGCAGCCAGAAAGCAGTGCCACGAGCAGCAGAAAATTCCGGATTATCAGAGACGATAATATCTACCTCGGCCGGCTTGGCGACACCATGCTGAGTTTGAACTTCCGGGATGTCCTTGGCGACACTCTGGATAACGTCCAAGAACCCAGGTTGGCCAGCTCCTTCGCCAGCTGTGAGGACGATGAAGTCGGAGTTTGAAGGGCGCGGATAGTTTTTGGTGAACTCAGCCCTAGCAGAAAGCAGGTGGCCCCGAAGTCCATCCCAGAACTTTTCAGCAGTCGTTGCCTCGTCGAGCCTGTCCAGTCCATAAGTGGTGTCAATAGAACCGAGGTAGCTGTCCCACGAGAGCCGATAGAAGCACCTTGCACCTGCAAAGAGGTGTATACGGAACCGTTGGTAAAATTACACGGTCGTGTTTATCATAGGTAGCTTTGGAAATTAACGTCAGTCAGTAGGGTGACCAACATTATGAAATACCCGATTGGCGGCAACACGTCGCTCCACCCGTCCTCGTCAAACCCACACCGCCGTTCCTTGCAGAAGAAGCGTCCAGCAGCTGCGAGCACCGCGCTTGGCTCGTCTTGTTAGATAGGCCCGCTGGCCTCCCAAATTCAAGGTTCCAGCGCGGCAAGCACGAGGGCGTCGTTGATGGCGTTGTCGGCCGGGATGTCGTCGCCCCACGCGGCTACCCAAGGGGCAGTAACAGAAACGATGGAAATACGGCTCTGTAGGGCAGACTCGGCTTTGGCTTTCAGCGCAGTCATGAGCTGGGCCAAAACCGCCGCGGCGTCGGTGGCAGGGAACCCCAGACTGCGTCTAACGAACCGCCACAACCTCAGCATCAAAACAACACAGCCGAAGCGCCCCAGCTAGTATCGCGTCGTGGACTTCCGGACCAGCCGCGCCATGAGTGACGTGTACTCGGGGCTGGCGCGGACCTTGGCCAAGTTGATCACACTCCCGTTTTTGAAGTGAGCGACGGCAGTCATGAGGGGGCAGGTAATGTCAGACGAGGCTTCCGTGATGCAGAGTTCTGCGCCCGTGCAACCAACGACGGTCTTGCTTACCCGTATGGCTGCCCGAGGTCAAACCCAACGGCAATTTCGGCCTCATGTTCATGTTGCTGGCAGAGCGTCAGAATGGAGGTGGAGAAAAGGCGACCACAAACACGGCAAGCCAGCGGGACGGCCTGCGTCGGCTGTGCGTAGCGTAGTGGTGCCCATGGTGTGACGTTGTCGATTGCCGTCCCTGTGAGTTCGTTCAAGGCTCCGTCACTAGCAGAGCGAGGTCGGGTTGAGAAAAGAGGTGGGTACATGTACAGATATCTATCTACACCACATGTGGATATGACTGCCCGCAACGCCCGGCCTAACTTACCCCTGTTTCTCTTTCGGATATTCGGATTTGTTTTTGCACTTCTTTCATCCTTCCTCTACAGTTCTCTAGTTTCTATTTTGTAAATTGAATTGAAGAGTGTTGTGTTATCGGGTAAGGGGGCGGGAGAGGGCAGCGACATACTCGAGTTGATTACCTGCTGGAGATGCAGTGACGCCTCCGATGACTGGGAGTGCCGTGGCCCACTTGGCCTGTTTAAGGCGGGCGAGCCTGGCCAGGGCCATGGAACCGCGTGAGAGTGAGCTATTAATATTCTAATTACATGGTCATACGATGTCACTTGTTCCTATTTTCTCTCCCCGATACAATCGAACTCCGCAGACACTTCACGGCAAAGCTCGACAGATAGGTTTGTTACATAGAAGCTGTTCCACTTTAACTAGACCTGTCGAGTCTGTAATTATTTCGTGGTGTGTGTATAGACGGTGCTAGACCACCAGTATCAAACAACGCTGTTTACTATTAATAAACATCAAGGATTGTAGCCGCAGACATACCAATCGTGCTGACCTTTAGAAGGCTGTTACCTATTTACCACACCCGGGTTGGCAGGAGGATGCAAAAAGCACAAGGTCATAGGATACACCATGCAAGGCGACGCAAACGCTGATTGCTGCCGACATACTTGCTCACGCATTAAGAGGTTTCCTGCTCCAAGCCGCATATCGTCAGCCCGGCATCGTTAACTCGCCGTCTTATGCTCTTTGGAGTTTTGTGGCGCTTGAGATGCGATTTGTTTGGAGTAATGGGAAGCTGAGAGGACAGCTCGAAGAGGGGAGATCGGCACATGCGCGCAGAAAGGGGGCTATGTTAATGTACGACGCCGTCCAATAGAACTATATGCCAGCTACCGAATTACCTTTTCTCTGATTGTAATAGGAGCACTCAACCAGCGCACCAAGTTCAACAGATTGGGAAATGTCTGCGAGACAGCCTGTTGGGCCCGAAGCCTATCGGCAAGGCAGTAAGAATCTTTGGATTGTGCTAACTTTGATCTTTGTGCATTTTGATGTGTAACTTCATTATGCCCGCATTCGCAAGGAGCTAGCCCACCGAGGCGGTCACTATATGATGGGATCACGAAAGTGCCTTGTTTTTGTTGGATAGGGGGAGTCCCTGGCCGTAACAAGAGTCAAAACGACGAATGGGGCTGGAAACTCGGAGTCGTCAGAATCAAACGGGATGACAACATCGATCAAAGAGTCGACGGGCATGGCCTTGGAGACGACTCAGAGGGGTGTGCGCCAAATTGCATTTTATTAATTTGTACAACGGCTGCAGTCAGCATCTGCCACTCCTCTGCTTTGCCTGTTAACATCATTCATTGGGTTACACGCACCAGTCGGGCTTTTTGCGCGGTTCACGTCTCTCAGCCCAAGCGGGTCATCTCGGCAAGAGAGAGAGAGACTCTCCTCATTGACAAGGTTGGGGCTCAGAGTGAAACTCACATCTCCGGGGGTCTTCTCAGAATGTTTGCCCAAATTGATCGGCATTGATCGCCGATTGAGCTGAGCCAATCGCCAGAAACCCAGTTACCGAGCTTCAGGGTTCAGAGTGAGAGAGTCAAAAAGTGACAGCTCGTCCTAGACGGACGCTGTCTCGGAGGGCAGCTATCGTGTATAAAAGGACCACGCTCCCCCATCCCATCAACCCACCCAGCACCATCTCCCGACCCACCAGACACAAGAAACAACCAAACCGAACCAAACCAACATCACCAAAACCACTCCCTCCGCCAAAAAAGGCTATCCACCATGCACTCCCCCATCCTCCTCCTCACCCTCCTCACCACCCTCACCCTCGCCACCCCCACCGCCACGCAACACGGCGCCTCCCTCCCCGAGCAAGCCCTCACCGACAACGCCGTGGCGGCCGGCGCCAACGAATCCGACATCCCCCAGCCCGGCAGCGGCGGCGGCGGATTCAGCACCAACGCGCTGTACTGCCCGATCGACTTCCCGCGGTACTGTCCGTACGGGTTCTGCTGCCGCACGAGCAAGTGTTGTGGCTTGGAGTGCTGCACGGAGGCGGCGACGTTTTGTTCGGCGGGGCGGTGCTATCGCTAGATGGGTACCTACCTAGGTATGTTGACTGGGTGATGGCTGAGAAGGTGAGGTGGGGGTGCTTGTTTGGTGTTCTTAGTTTTGGGTTGTGGTTGACTGATGGTTTGATAGAGCTAGCTGGGTCCCGGTTTTATCGTCGTTGTAGGTTTGTTCGATGACGCTCGCTTCTTCAAGAGGCTCCCGGTTTGGTTCGGTGCCGGGAGGAAATGGAACGTTGTTGCTGTCAGGGCACACTGGGAAATAGGCAGGGTTCCGTGTTATGGAAGTTGCTTTTACCACATCCATTCTTTTTAGCTCTGCTTGTACCCAAACAGACGACTATCAAACTGAATCAAGCTTTGGGTTAGTAAACGGACGCGGTGTGTTGTGTATTTTGAATTTCCGTATTGTCCCGTCTTCGGGACCCAGAGCATCGCTGGGGTTTACCGCCATGTGAGATAAAAGGGTTGCAAAAAACCGGATGGGGCATCATCACAGGGGCGGTAAGCAGGCCGGGATAACTGCACGTGTCAGTGTCTGGAATTTGTGAACGCTTAGGACACGTCGGGGTGTTGCGCTTCTTTAAAAACTGTTCTATAATACATGCCTACAAGTTATTTTCCACAGCCTGTTCAGTGTCAAATTCAGTATAAACAACCCTGTATACCATCGTCTACCGCTCCACGCTCTTATCCCCCTTCTCCGCCGTCGTCTGCTTCTCCCACATGGAATGATAGCGTCCCCCGAGAGCAAGCAGCTCCGGGTGAGTGCCGCGCTCGACGACGCTCCCCTTGTGGAGCACCACAATCTGGTCCGAGCTCGTGATGGTTGACAGGCGGTGGGCAATCGTGACGGTAGTACGACCATATGTGACCCGCTCCAGGGCGTCCTGGATCAGGCGCTCGGTGTGCGAGTCCAGCGACGCCGTGGCCTCGTCCAGGAGCAAGATGGGCGCATCCTTGAGGATGGCGCGGGCGATGGCGACGCGCTGCCGCTCGCCGCCCGACAGCTTCAAGCCACGCTCCCCCGACGATGGTGGCATATTGGTCCGGGAAGTCCATGATGCGGTCGTGGAAGGTTTGGCCGCCTTGCACGCCCTCGTACACATCGGCCTTCGGTGGCGTTCGGGCTGGCGTAGAGCAAGGTTGTAACATGATGCTCCGCGTTGAACAGCACCGTGTCCTGGAGGCACCACGCCGATGCTCTCTCGGAGGCTGTCAAGCGTCCAGGTCTCGGATGTATGCCCCATCGACCGTGGACTGCGCCCCTCCCCCCACCTCGTAAAAACGGAAGAGGAGCTTGAGGCAGGTCGACTTTCCGCTGCCCGACTCGCCAACGATGGCCGTCTTGGTGCCCGGGGCCACCTTGAAGCTGATGCCATCGATGGCGGGCTTGTTCTGGCCGGACTTGCCTTGGTAGGCGAACTTGACGTCTCGGAATTCCACCTCTCCTCGAGGGTTGGTTAGCTTGGCGGCGCCGGGCTTCTCAACAACCCCTGAAGTCTCTTTGAACAAATCCAACATGCGCTCTGCTTCGATCAAGTTGTTCTGAAGCATAGTGTAGTAGGTCCCAAAAAAGTTCAGAGGAGCCTGGAGTTGTGAGAAATAGACAATCAGGCTCACAAACTCAGCCACAGTTTGCTGGCCCTTGGAGATCTTGTAGGCCGATACGGCGACGAGCAGAGCTGTCCCCACGGAGAAGATGGAGCTCTGTGTGAGGTTCAGACCGTTCAGCGACAACTGCACCAGACGCTCGGCCTTTTGGTAGATGAGGACCTGGCCGCGGAAGCGCTCCGTCTCGGGGCCAACGGCGCAGTTGTGCTGCACCGTCTCGTAAGCCATGATGGCATCCGTCTTGACGGCATCCATCTCGCGCGATTTCGTGGCCATGTCCCGGCGCTGGCGGCCGCGGTACTTGGCCATGTAGATGGTCAAAAAGATGTACGACCACATGATGAAAAACACGATGATGGTGTAAAAGGCATCGTACTTGACGAAGAACAGGACGCCGGCGACAAAGATGTCGAAAACCATTGGGAAGACCTGAAAGACAAAATTTTCGAGGAAGGTGTTCATGGCGGCGCCGCGGCTGAGGGCGCTGGTGACCTCACCGATCTTTTTGCTGAGGTGGAAGTCGAGAGAGAGGCCGAGTACGTGCTCGAAGGCGGCGCACGAGAGCCGGCGGAAGAGCGACTGCGAGACGGGAATCCAGAGGACGGAGCGGGCGGCGCCGATGACGCCTTGATTCCCTTGCAAGGCGCGGTAGACAACGTACAGGATCATGTCTCGGTACGGGATGCGGCCGTACCCCAGGGACTCGACCAAGGAGCCAAGCTGCAAGGGAACCATCAGGTTCACAATGCGCTGGCAGATCAGCAGAATTAAGCAGACCACGACAGTGGCCTGGTACACGACAGAGTCCTTGGGCCACAGGTAAGGGAAGAGGACGCGGAAACCAGCGATGTAGTCGAACCATCCTGAACTTTGGGGGTCACGCGGCTTCCCACCTTTGCCCCTTGGCGCTGCGTGGCCATTGCCGTTTTCCAGCAGGCCCTGGCGCTCGCCGGTGGTCGAGCTCAATCGAGATGATCGTAGGGAATAGTGGCGGCGTACCACAAAACCTATCATGACGACCAACGTGGCGATCCTGGCTATGCCCAGGCCGATTAGGGCGTCACGCAGCTTCGGGTGGACCTTGATATAGCGCTGTTGGGTACCAAACAGGGCTATGATGACGCCCTCGAGCATTGCGGCAGCGACCCAAGAGTGGCAGTTGGAGGCGGTGGGCGACCATGGTCCGTCGGGGTTCGGCAAGAGGCCAGCAAGGAAGAAGAGCAGCAAGCCGACATGGGCAGCGAGGTAGCCGCTGTAGGGGAAGTTTGAATGGGGTTGTGTCCCTACAACGGCATCTCGAACAACGAGAATGATGGAGGCGAGCAGCAAGAGACTGAGAAGGAATTGGCTAGCCCAGATCAGGCGGGCATAGAAGCGTCGGATGGCTGGTGCTTCCTTATCATTTGAGTCGTCATCGGCATCATGGTCGTGATCGTTGTCGCCATTGGCTCGTCGCTGTCGTTTGCGATAGTAATAAACAGACTGAGACGAGAATAAAACCACAAATAGCCCGCATGGGTAGAGGTAGAAGGCTACCTCAAGCCCCAATTGAACTCCAGCCATGACCCTGCGATTAATGGCGAATTGAATTTATCGATTGGCGGGGAGGTCATAGACGGAGCATCGCCACGATCGCTTCCGAACTCCGAAGAAGTCGAACGCGAGCGGCAAGAATGCATGCGCGTCGTCACGTGCGAGATCGGCAAAGATCACTCCCTGCCAAGGAAATCTCCAGGTTTCCGAAGTCCCAAGACAATCTGAGCCGCATTCTGAAGTCTTAGCTAAAAAGCTTACCACCGACTAACTTCCCATCCTAACGCAGGAAGAGAGTCGGCTACGAAAGCCAAGGGTTTTACTTTGTGGGATTCTCAAACCGCACCTTTTAAAGAAGCGGCGGAATGTCCCCGTGGTGAAAATGCAGAACCGTCCGAGAGGGAAGGGTGGTCCTTCCGGGGTCTTTCCTAATCGGTCATGTTCCGTTCTTGCGGGGGGTGTCCCGCAGTTGCCGAGAAGTGTCTGGGCCCAGGTTTCTCCCTTCGCTCACTGGCCCATGAACCCGGTTACGTGGGAATGTCTATCGTAGACATTGCTCTATTTTGGGATTTGATTGTTCCGCGCGGCATATCGGCATGCACCAGTGCGTTTGGCCTCACCTGATGGCAAATGTGCCACAACAACCGCGGGGCCAGAAAGTCAGAAAAAATGTGAGAGTTCGACAGCTTGTTGCATTTTAATCAATAGAGCCAGGCACCAAACAAACTGTCAAACAGCTTGTGCCTTGCACAAACTTCAACCGACATGAATGTCCCCGTTTGCACCGAGAGGATCCCTCACGTCAGAGAATCGCGACAGAGAGAGGTACGCGGAACCACCCACCGTTGCATTGGACGGCAAACATAAAACACGACAGTCACATGGCCATTGCCTCACCACATCAACCTGCGGCTCATCGCTGAAGCTGAGGTCGGCGAAGGTCCCGAAGAAACGGCTTCTGTGTTTCCGCTGTTGCGGTGGGAACATGAATTAAAGCGCTATCCTAAAATTGCCTGGCTCGCTTGCTAGGATAAATTGAAGGCCGTTGCAACGGTCCGATGCGCCCGGCTCTTTGCCTATTAAGGGACCACGGCGACTAAACCGCACCAGTGCCGAACTTCCAGTTTGATGTTCCAAAGCAGCCCTCCTTGCGTCAGACTGTTGCCATCCTCCCTTTCTCCGCCGCCCAGGTGTCCCATCGATTTCGAGAGCGGATGGGACCAGACGGCATGGCCCATCTATGCCCCCGACTGCAACCAGGGCGGCAAGGTGTCCCTCGATAGCACCACCGCCCACAGTGGGAAGAACTCTATCCGCGTGGATGGCGCCGGTGGTTACTGCGGGCACGTTTTCTTTGGCACAAACAAGGTTCCCAGCGGCGACTTTTATGTCAGGACTTACCTGTAAGTCGGGCAGTAACCGAGGCTTACCGAGGAACTCCCATTGCCTCGTGTTAGCCAACGGTTAAATGAAATGTATAACTAATAGTATCTCCTTATAGCAAAGCGTCCAAGGCCCTAACCTCCTCGCACGTTTCCTTTATCACCATGCCTGACCCGGCCCAGGGTACCAACAAGCATCTCCGTATTGGCGGCCAAAACTCGATCCTAATGTACAACCGCGAGTCGGATGACGCCACCCTCCCCGACCTCTCGCCCCAGGGCGTCGCCGCTTCGACGGCCCTGCCTACCGGCAGCTGGCAGTGCTTCGAGTACCACGTCGGCAGCGACGGCTCCATCGAGACGTGGCTCAACGGCCAAGCCATCGCCGGCCTGACCAGCATCCCGGGCCAGAGCAACCCCAACGCCGGCCAGTGGCAACGGAGCAGCATCAAGCCCAAGCCCTCGGCCGTCTACTTCGGCTGGGAGTCGTACGGCGGCGACACCAACACCTTCTGGTACGACGATATCGTCATCAGCTCGTCGCGTGTCGGGTGCTCCGGTGGCACCAACCCCCCGGCGTCGACCACTCTTGTCACGTCCGTCACGCCGGGCCCTTCGTCGACCGCCACCAGCCTTGCGCCGGCTACCTCCACCACGAGCAGCGGCTGCGCGGCCGCTCAATGGTCGCAATGCGGCGGCATCGGCGTAAGTGCTCTTGAATCGGTTTTTTGAACAAGATGAGGTCACTGACACGTCACTAGTTCAACGGCTGCACGACGTGTGCTTCCCCGTACACTTGCAAGTTCTCCAATGACTACTACTCGCAGTGCCTGTAAAGAACCGGCGAGCCGTGTATGAGCGTCTGCTGCGTCCGTGTATATACATCTTCCCATTCTTGTCCATACTTGATGCCCTGTTAGTACATACACTGGTATATTCACTGCCCGCTATCCGTTACCTGAAGGATGTTCAGTTGCTAGGGTATATACATGGAGTTAGCCGACGGTCGCCGAGGCCTCTTTTGAACTCCAGAAGACGAATATGCCTCTTTTATAAATCGGCTGGCGGTGGGATTTAAGTTCGATATGTGAATTGTGTCTGAGTGTTTGTCTGAAGCTGCACAACGTGAGCTCGTTGCAGAGTCGAAAACGGCGCTATTTCCGCGTGGTGGCAAATATTTGTCGTAACCCAGGTAAGTTTATATTTCTTATCGCTGTATATATCTTAAGTCTGTATCTATAGGATTGGGTTACGAGTAAGCTATGGCCCTAGAGAGGCTGGTAATACCGAAAGTCTAGACCGTACCACCTATACTTCGGTGCCTGTCTTCTATCCTCTTCTCAGCTCTGTAGCCTTTACTTCGCTACTACTGCAGGCCCTGGGGATACAATCCAAATTGAATAAGATACCGCTTCAGGCCAATAAACTTGGTGGTTAGCTAGGTAGTTAGGTTGTAGCTCATGAAACGGTTCTATGATAGCAGTCTAGTCCCCCAGGGCCTAGTTCCATGAATTTCCGACACGGACGGACAACCTCTTCCGCCACCGCAACCGCACAAGCCATACTATAGAACCGCCGTCTGAAGGACAATACATCAGAGCGGATTCAAGTCTCGACTACAAGACCAACATAATGATATTCTATGAGTAGCGCCAAATACCGATTTATGGTTTGAGATCAGTGTTGTAATTATGGGTTAGTATGAAATTATATACCGAGGTACGCACTTATTATGTATTACCTATGCATCAGCCGCATCCGCGAACCAACAACCTCTGGTCCTGCAGTGGGCGGCTACAGCTAACGCTAAACGTCCTGCACCAGCCGACTGTCGGTGCCGGGCACCTCAAGACACGCGCCAGGCAACGACGAGATAACATCCACGGTAATGAGGTAGGTCGTAATTATGGAGGCTTGGCCTAGGAAGATGACATGAGACGGATGATCCAACCGTTTACACCCAGAGTATCTAGGTAGGTAGGCAAGGCAATGTTGGCAAGACGAAACCGGTAAAAGTATTCATCATCCAAGACTCACCTTACAAACCAATAGGCTTTCTAGGGAATGCCAGCAGGAGTGTCGAAGAGGCCAATTTGTAGGAATCATGGACCAAGAGAGCGGAGATGCGAACTGAGGTGCTCTGCCTGCTTAGGGACGGACCGTCAAAGGCTGGGAACATCAATGGAAAGCAAGAGCACACTCTCAACTGCAACTTTTACATTAATTTTGAACAGGAGTGTTTTAGGTGATGTATGCTGGGCCAGAACGTCCGTTGGGTTTCCACCTGCATGGCCCAGATTCACCGTAGCATCACTTGCAATCCGAGGTACACTAAAAAACCATACAGTGGTGACGATTTCTATTTTTGTGTACCGAAGACAGAGCAGAGCTGAGAGAGGGCGGACGAAAATGACCCTGTCTCTCCTCTCTTCCCAGGCGTGCCCTTCTCGGGTCCTTGGGCTAATGCGTGTGACGCGTGCGGCACTTGAGTCTTGTATCGTCCTCGGCCAATATTTGTCCTAGCCTTGCATTAGCATTCCCCACCATCTTAGCCTTTTCCGCGGCATTGTGCTGTCCAACAGCTTGAGTTCAGGGACCACCAGATCCTTCTGCTGTAAGCATCCCTTGGCGTGGAGCAATATCCCGCCGATGTTCACCCAAAGGTTTAGTTACATTCTCCCAAAGGAGTTCTCTTTGCGATGTCCACATTGTCATCACTGCGTGTGCTGTATACTGAGCGGGGAAGACCAGGTCGTCCCCTGAACCGTCTCACAACCCCCTCCCAGAGCTGGGCCGAGGTGGGCGTCTATAAGAAGCCCAAGAAAACCGCAGCCCTCTCGGAGAACCAAGCACGCTGATATCCATCTCCTCTCTCGTACGCCCTGGCCTTTCTTCCGTACCGATTCCGTCAGATCCCAAAACTCGACGACCATGGCGCCAGCACAGATCGAGTACCCCGCGTGGTTTGAGCGCATTTACGCCAAGACGAAGGAGCCGAACCCCAAGGACTTTGACGAGGACATCTCGGAATTCGGAGAGTCCGAGCCCCCCGAGTATGAATTCGATGGCGACCAGACGGATGAGAAGTACGACTACTACTTCTCCTTTATCAATCAACGCGAACAGCGCAAGGAGGATCTGAAGCAGATGAAGGAGGGCAAGGCCAGCCAGCTGGAGCTGGAGGAGGGCAAGAAGGCCAAGGTGCAGGCCGCGTACGAGGCCATGGCCGCGGCGGAGGCGAGCGGGGAGGACCTGACCATCGACCCGGAATCCTTCTACGCCAAGATGTTCAACCTTTACTCGCCCGAGTTCGTGGAATGGACCTACCACCACTACCAGCTCGTCGGCGCCAATGTGGGCTTCTTGGAACTGCGGATCTTTGACGAGGAGGAGATGCTGGTCAATGGCAACGTTCTGCTCAACACGTACAACTTCAGCAGCATCGAGGCCCACGGGACCCAGAGCTCCGCCGGCACAACCGAGCATCGCATTGGCCTTTCCAAGAATGAGGGGCAGCCAGCGGAGGAAATCGGGATGAACCTGAAAGAGGACACTGGCGAATGGAGCTTTGGGCTAGTGATTATCAACGAGGACAATGTGCTGGTGCGCCTGAGCCGGGAATTTGTCTTCAGGTCTCTTTCCACTGTAGAGATCCCTGCTGATGCGCCGGAAGTGTTTGAGTTTTGGGGCATCAGCCAGGACACGGATTATTAAACCGGGAGATGGATGGCCGGGTTAGGAGATAGAGGTATAAATTGCCACCGTTTCCTCGTGCCCTACTACCTGCCTGCCCACTGTGACATTACTATTCGTGCCCAGGTACGTATAGTTTCTACCCTGGTTCGCCGATAGCTCCCAACACGATGACGGATACCCCCGCCGGGGAACCCCCTGCGAACCCGACACGACGAAAAGTTTGATCGTGTCCGTCGGCGAACATTCAGAAGGAAAGATACTCGGCCTCTGTGGAGAGGGAGTCGAGTTCCCTCCGTGCAATGGGCTAAGCCCGACCGTCATGCTGTCCATGATCGACTAGGGTAGGTAGGTGCGTTTCAGCTTAAAATAATCCTTCTTTGCAAAACTTGACTAGGGTGGCCTTGGAATTCCCTATGATCTCTCACCTGGGCTCATGCAGCTTCTCCTTGCCTACTCCGCTAGCACTTTTTAGCTCCTCAAGAGTCTTCTTGCCGTCCTCGGTTGTGGCATCAATTACTTCCCCTTCGATGCTCATGCAACCAGACTGTTCAGGCCCGGGCGAAGTAGCGACTGGTTAGCAAAGCCTTGGCCGCGGGTTCATACGAGTCAGAAGAACTTACTTCGGCCAGGAGTGAAGCCAGCTCTTCAGCTTCGCTGGTCTCCATTTCCCCCAACACTTTGTTGACCTCATCCAGCGACCCGGTTTCTAGCGCGGCCCTCATCTCAGGCGCAAAGCTCTCAAAGATGGCCCTTGCCTTCCGTACTTCCTCGTCGTCGCTCTCCGCCGGCGGGATCACAATCCGAGCCGACGCTTCTCCGTCCACAAGCGAGCATAGCTGGACCCGCTCAACCATCCTCTCAGTTTCTGCACCATCCCGCCGCTTTTTGGCATCCCGCTTAGCCATGTCGACTATCCGCTGAAACGTCTGGGCGAGATCCTTCTCAAAGGCCTCGTGGGCTTGGTGGCCAGGCGTAGCCATGCGTTTAAAAAACAGGGACACGCCGTCGCGGCCCAGGAGATGGCAGTATTGTAGGAGAAGCGCCTGGTGCGTGTACTGCTGCGCGAGGGTGCGCGCCTCATGGCCGCCATTCAGGAGAAGGGTATAGGCCTCGAAAAGGAGGCCGTCAGACTCCCGAGAATCGTGAACAATCTCGGGGTGCGATGCGAGGAATTCATGGCTGGCACGGTAGTGGTGGTTTGCATCTTGGAGCAAGCCGCCCAAGAATAAAATGACGCGATGATCAAGGGCTTCTTCCCAGCCCAGTGGCAGAGGTGTTCCGTGCAACGTAGCTGATTTGCCTCATCCCCTCCTTCACCGGGGTCGGAAATATCGCGGACCGGTTGCGTCAGAAACTTCATTAGAGTCGACTTGCCGGAGCCAGCTTTGCCAGTGATCCAGTATAATTGTTCAGAAGACCGAAGCCAGGAGGGAAAGTCGACCCAGGGTTGGTTCTCCTGCTTGTCAAAAACCCAATGCAATGTTGCTTGGTGAGCTTCTGCGACCATTGCTTCTCGGTCAAGCATCCCTTCGTATGAGAGAGCCGATAGAAAAGCCTTTTCGAGTTTTTGTTTTCTGCGCTTGTGGAGAACAAATTCCGGGCGTCAACTCGATCTAAAGATCCGACGCCATCATACATGGCCCCTAGTAGATCTCCCTGGAGAGCTTCCGCGAGCCCGTCGGATACCTTTGGTCCCAGAGCGTCAACGATGTAGCTGATGACAGATGAGCCAAACGCGAAGTCGCTGGACTGTTGTCACGAATAGGGAGAGCGGGGAGCGCAGGGCGCAACCCAAACCAATCGTTAAGGCAGCCAATCAGGGAGAAGAATCGAGATAGCAAGGCTGTCTACACAGTAGGTGATCGCTGGGAAAAGGACCTGATCGGTAGCGATCAAGGTGGCCGTCAACGGCCGGAGCGACCGCCAGCGATCGAGGTGATCGCGAACGGTCGCTTGCGATCACTACGATCCAGGGAGCACAGGCACGAGAGGTACCTATGGGCTCAGATAGTATATAATCACTCGTTCTGGAGAGCTCTAGGAGTTCTCCAGTTAGCAATCACAACTACAGTTCGCTACAAGCTCGGAAGCCTACTGTTGAGACAAGTCTTTGTTGTGCACCCTTTGGCTGCACCGAACCTAAGCACCCTTGAGAGATTACCTTCGATCGAAGCTGAACCCTAACTGGACAGGGTCCTGAAGTAGGTTCGTCACAACTGTAGATTGTCGACCTTCCTATGGAGTTCCCGGTTATCTGATTGGGATTTATCAAGCTGCTCTAAAATATGGCGCTGGTAGTCGAGCGACTTGGTCGCATAAGACCTTTCCAACTTCTGTTAGGCAAGGCTGATTTCCAACAATAAGGGAACGGGGGGCTATTATACCTCATGGAGATCAAGAGTCTAAGAGTCAGTTGCGACCGAAACTTTTCCAGCTGAGCGTCTAGCGCTTTGATCTCGCCGCCATTCCACACCTGTTTGAAAGCAGCCTTGACGCTCCTCGTTTTCCGCTGGTGCCCGACAAGCCCAACTGCCGTAGCCCCTCCAGCATTTCCTTAGTGACGTCGGCGCATTCGTTAGAAAGCTGGAGGATTGAGTTGGCCTCGCTTGACACTTGGGTGTTATTTGGTGATTGTTCCGCGCTCTGGAGGATCCGCAAAACGTCTTCAAGATCCTTCGACAGCGTTCGCATGGCGGTGAACCGCCGGTGCTCTCTCCATCCGAGTTCCAGATCTTCCAAGCGGCATTGACAAATTGGTCTCCATAGTCCAACATCTGTAGGATGTTGGCTGCCATGCCAAGGGCTGCGATCGCCTCGGCCATTGCAGTATACTATTATGTCGTAAGGTCTTGATGCTGGGTTCTTAGCGCAGTGGCTACATGCAGTCGCTCTTCCATGTGTGATGGTGAACGGACTGTCAACGGAGAAGCTGAGCCCGTTGGGCAGCGCGACGTTGGGCATATCGCTTATCCTTTCCAGTTGATCTGGCGAGCCTGATCGATGACCAAGCTGCGCCATGCAGCCTGCGACCATTCCCGGTCGCACACACGTCGGGTTTTGGTTTGGGATTGGATGAAGAAACGAGACATTATGGATGAAAGAGTCGAGATGTGGGCCAATTGAGATTGAGAAGGTGAGAAGCTGCGAGACGTGGATTCAACCTGGTCGAGATTGTGGGGCTCCATGTCGATTTAACTTTTCATTCGATGCCCGTTCGGTACCGTCTCGCTCATTCGTGGGCCAACTCTGCTAGAAACTCGGACTTTTGATTTTTCGGTCATCCTTTCTCACTTTCCGCCGCGATGGAACCGCCAAAATGGCGAATATCAAAAGCTTGCGAGGAATGTCGCACCAAGAAAATCCGCTGCGATGGTGACGACCCTTGCGGCCGGTGCAAGATGCGCGCAGTTGATTGCGTGTACCGTGCCAAGGCACGCATCAGGGCAAGAAGAAGCCCACCGGCGCCCGTGCAACAGAGACGTGATGAATCGGAGCTGGTCCGCCCCCCAGAAGAGGACGATCATGCCTCCGACTCTCGAGCCCTTCAGAACCACAGCGTGGCGGCAACACACCGAGCATCGCCGTCCATGTTGCTACAGCTGTATTATGGCCCGTCGTCCAACTTTTCGATCGTGAACTTCATATACCACCAGATCGAAGGCACGAGGCCCGTGTCGAGCCATCAAAAGGAGGTCCAAGAGATGGGACCCGGTCTAGACCGTTTCAACTTACGGCGACTGTACTTTGGCGACCTGGCTGATAACGCCGAGTCGTGGCGCGTGACCAACGACACGGCAGCCATGCTCGTTGATCGAGAATTGGCTGGCCGTCTCCTGGAGCGGTACCTTGCCACTTACTGGCATACTATGCCTATCTGGCCCAAGGACGAGTACCGCCGCCAGCTCGCACGCCTCTACGTGCCGTCTGAGATGTCCTCATCCAAGAACCCCGACACAATTGTCGTCCTGTTGTCTATGGCAATGGGTGCTTCCATGCTCGAGGAGGAAGCAATAGCGCAATTTCTGTTCCAGAAGGCTAAAAGGTGGTCGGCCAGATTTGACGAGATGGTCAACGTTCAAGCTGTTCAGATAGCATTGCTCATGATAAGTCCCTATCTTGCTCTTTACTACTTGACCAGACTATCCAACACCCGCCCACTCGCAGTTTTACGCCGAAAGAGCAAGGCCCAACTCGGCCTTTTTGGTGGCGGGCACTGCAGTCCGCAAAGCGGTAGGCGCCGGCCTTCACAAAGATGTTACGGGGACTGCGCAATCTTGCGAAGATACTCGTCAGCGGAGAGTAACGATCTGGAGCCTCTTTTTCTGGGAGACGTAAGACCCCCGCTCTTCCCAAGCCTGGAGATTATCTCACTTCCGCCTAACAACCATCCCGCTGTATCTTAGGTGGCTCTGTTTTAGTCTCGGTCGTCCAAGTTCGTTCCCCGAGGCCGAAATGAGAGTACCGCTTCCTGCCGAGCAGAAGTTCTTGCAGTCACTTGTGACGCTAGCTCGGCTCATGTCCAAGTGCGCCACGCACATCTACAACCAGAATCACAAATCCCTCGCCCCTATTTGGAAAGCTGCAAATGAGATTCGTCGGGAGCTTCTCCAATTTGCCGAACAGCAGCGCAAGGATTTCAACTTTGGCCTGGTTGGTGACCCGGGCGCCGGCGAGCTCGGGGTCTGCCAGACCATCATATCGACCAGTAGGGCCCAATACATCAATGCCCGGCAACAAGATTATCTTAGCTAACTAGCCCCTTGTAGTGTACCATCACACGCTGGTTCTGGTATTTCGCCCATTTCTAGTGCTGCGCGCTAAACTGCGCCAGGAGGACACGGCTTCCGGCAGTAATACTGCCACTAACGGCAACAGTTTGCCGATGCCGCCACCATGGTTGGATAAGGCATGCGAGTTTTGCCTGGAAGCTACAAGGCATTGTCTTGTTTTCCTTGTGGGTGCCTGCGAGGAAAATATCCTGTGTCGTGTAGGGAACCCCTGAGCGCGGACGCTGTGACTGTCCTGGTGCTGACTCGGTTGTTTAGGAGGTCAAGTACCACGCCTTCTTCATCGAGAGCGCATCCCACGTCTTAGCATTGGATATGCTCGGTGATAAGATCACCGGCCGTTCCAACCTACCTTGGATCCGATCGGGGATCCGGGCCCTCCGGATGATGCCTCGGCCTGGGAGGACTCAGAAGAGCCGGGTCCACACGGAGGACCTTGCAGATAACCTCGAACGCATCGCTCGTTTTGTATATCCGGATTTCCGGGTCAGTGCCGAGAGCGCCAACCCTGCTGTGGATACCGCCGCAGACACGAATTATCTTAGGGTCAACCCAGCACAGCACCCCTTGCAACCGCCATACCCCGATGTGAGCATGGCCTTCGGCCACACCTCGCCGGCCACCATATCGCCCTCTACCATTCTTAACCATGAGGATGTGGAGCAGCATGCTGATCTTACGCCTCCAGATGGTGGATGGAACTTTGACTTTGCAACCGCCGATATGGAGGCTTTCCTGTCGATTGATCCCAATTTCGACTCCTACCAGCTTCCCGTATACCCTTAGTTCTACTTTTAATGAAGCTTCTATCTCACAAACAATCCCAGCCCTATTAGGAGGGGGTCAAGTGGTGACCGTTCACCCCTGGCAGTGCTTATGCCGTCATTCGCGGATATGGAGCACGCCGGATATACGGATATACGGATATGTCAACCGTTCAGACGACCACGACCTCGCTCTTGGGGACGCCGCAGATTCCCATTCGTATAAGAGTTGGAAACAGTAAAGCTTTTCGTTAGAATGGTGGACTTCTTGTTTTCCAGTTACCTCGTGTACTCGATCCCTTAATTAATCTCACCCAGGATGGCGTGGTCCGCAGAAGCCGATGCCCCCAGGCACACCCCTTTCGATGCTTCAGCTAGCGAGACAGACGTCGAAGTCAACCATGCCTTCCCGGGCGAGGAGCATCCCAAAGATAACGCCTTCCAGAAACGACTAACTCTCACCTTCAATAATGTCACCGTCAATGTGACGGCCCCGGGCGAAGCACTGGGCGATACCCTGTTGTCATGGGTAAACCCAAGCCAGCTGTTGGATGTCTTTCGGAAGAAAGAACATACTAAGAGGGTATGGACATAGCATACAGATGTGATCCAAGTTCGGGAACTGACGCGGTATCAGGCCATTCTGCATGAGGTTAGCGGTCAGGTCAAACCTGGTGAAATGGTGAGCGAACCAAAGCAAACCATTCATTCTGCATATTGACGCATAAACGTATTAGCTCCTCGTCCTCGGCAGACCCGGTGCCGGCTGTACGTCTCTCCTCCGTGTACTGTCCAACGACCGCAAATCTTTCGACGAGGTTGAAGGTGAAGTGTGGTACGGCAATATGAACTGTCAGCGGGCGAGGCAGTACCGCCAGCAGATCACCTTCAACACCGAGGGTACGTACGCCCATGCGAGTGTTCCGCTTTTGCGCCCTAGATGGAGGTGACTAACGAGGTGCCAGACGATGTCCATTTCCCCGCCTTGACCGTAAACCAGACCATCAAGTTCGCCCTGCGGAACAAGGTGCCCCGGGAGAGGGAGGAACACTTGGAAGAGAAGCAGCAGTACGTCCGACAGACGAAGAACAGCATCCTCGGTTCTCTAGGAATCGGCCACACTGTCAAGACCAAAGTTGGTAATGAGTTCATCCGCGGCGTGTCTGGGGGGGAGAGAAAGCGTGTATCCCTGGCTGAGATGATGGCGGGCCATGTAAGTGCCAGATCTCAGTAAATAACTCCGAGCACCTATTAAAATGTTGCAGGGCGCGATGCAATTCTGGGACCAACCGACCCGTGGTCTTGACTCCAGAACAGCTCTAGAATTTGCCGCCACACTGCGCGCTCAAGCCGATCAAAACGGACGAACCATCGTGGCCACCATGTACCAGGCAGGTAACGGCATCTACAACCAGTTTGACAAGGTGCTCGTCCTGGCCGATGGATGCGTCATATACTACGGCCCCACAAGTACAGCTCAACGCTACTTTGAATCCCTTGGTTTCGTGTGCCCCAAGGGCGCCAATGTCGCCGACTTCCTGACCTCCATCACCGTTACCACCGAGCGCGTCATCGCTCCCGGTGCCCAAGGCAAGGTACCCACTACACCTCAAGAGTTCGAGAGAGCATATCAACAGAGTTCGATGTGCCGGCAGATGCGCAAATCCGAGCAGCCGGTTGAGACCCTTGCTGCCGAGGCTGTCAACCTTGAGGAGGCGGTTCAGAAGGAAAAGAAAGTGAGGCGCGTGAACGGCAAAAGAAGTCCATATACCGTCGGTCTCCGAGACCAAATCATCAACTGCACCATCAGGTACAACACCCCCGCCTCAACCATTCCACCCTCCCCCAAAACTAACCACCAACCCTCCCCCACCAGACAAACCCAAATTATCTTCAGCGACCGACTCTCCCTCGCCATCAAGCTCATCTCCGCCACCATCCAAGCCCTCGTCTGCGGCAGCCTCTTCTACCACCTGCCCACCACCAGCACCTCCCTGTTCCTCCGCCCCGGCGCGCTCTTCTTCCCCGTGCTCTACTTCCTCATGGAAGCCATGTCTGAAACCACGGCCTCCTTTACGGGGCGCCCCATCCTCGCCCGCCACAAGCGCTTCGGCTTCTACCGCCCGCTGGCCTTCTGCGTCGCCACCGCCCTGACCGACGTCCCCGTCGTTTTGCTCCAGGTCTCGGTCTTCTCGCTGGTGCTGTATTTCATGGCTGCGCTGCAGATGGACGCGGCCAAGTTCTTCACCTTCTGGGTGGTGGTCTGCGCGAATAACCTGGCGTTTTTGCAGCTCTTTCGTGCGGTGGGCGCGCTGTGCCGAAGGTTTGGCATGGCCTCGCAGCTGACGGGGTTGTTGTCGACGGTGTTTTTTGTGTATGGCGGGTATTTGATTCCGTTTCGGAGCATGCATCCGTGGTTTCGGTGGATTTTTTATCTCAACCCGGGCGCGTATGCGTTTGAGGCGTTGATGGCGAACGAGTTTGCCGGGCTGCAGCTGGAGTGTGTTGCGCCGCAGTATGTGCCATTTGGGCCGGGGTATGATGGTGATGGTTTACAGGGCCATCGCGGGTGTACGGTGCTGGGGAGTGATAATGCAACTGGGATGATTGATGGGTATGCGTATATTTCGCAGCAGTACTCGTATGCGACGGGGCATATCTGGCGGGGGTTTGGAGTCTTGATTGGGTTTTGGATCGCCTTCATTGCTGTTACGGCGCTGGCGTTTGAGCTGCGTACTGGGGAAGGGGGTTCGTCGGTCCTGCTGTACAAGCGTGGGCTGAGAAACAAGAAGAAGGCGGAGCAAGATGTTGAAGCTGTTACTGTCACTCAACGGGGGGAGGGGAAATCAGGGACGTCTCTGGTGACGGCTTCTCCTCCTCGGCCTGTTAGGCAGTCTACTTTTTGCTGGCATAACTTGGATTACTTTGTCAAGTACCAGGGCCAGCAAAAACAACTGCTTGATAAAGTGTTTGGCTACGTCCAACCGGGGAATCTTGTGGCGCTGATGGGCTGTTCTGGCGCAGGAAAGACGACGTGGGTTTATATCTTGTTTGTTTGTTTGCCGCCCGCGCTAACATTGTCTAGTTTGCTCGACGTCCTTGCTCAAAGAAAAGACTTTGGCGAAATTCACGGCTCCATTCTGATTGACGGTAAACCACAGGGCGTCAGCTTCCAGAGAATGACAGGCTACTGCGAACAGATGGATGTGCATGAGGGCACTTCGACAGTCAAAGAGGCGCTTGTGTTCTCGGCTCTCCTGCGCCAACCACCCGGTGTGCCCAAGGCGGAAAAGCTTGCTTATGTCGAGCATATTATTGATCTGTTGGACCTGCATGACATCTCAGACGCCCTGATAGGAGGTATGTGTGATTACCCTTTTTACTTGGTGGTATGCTAACCTGCAATAGTACCTGGCGCCGGTCTTACCATTGAACAGCGCAAGCGGGTGACACTCGGCGTTGAGCTCGTGGCCAAGCCCACTCTACTGTTCTTGGACGAGCCGACTTCGGGCTTGGATGGACAATCTGCTTACAACATTGTACGCTTCTTGAGACGCCTTGTGGAGGGTGGCCAGGCTGTCCTTGTAAGTTTAGGCGTTCCCAACATGATGCTTCTCCTAATCAGATACTAATCTACTTCTCATTAGTGTACGATTCACCAACCATCAGCAGTCCTCTTTGAAGCCTTTGACGCCCTGCTTCTCTTGGCCAAGGGCGGTCGTATGACCTATTTTGGGGAGAGTGAGCGCGAATTCTATCCGTGAAGTTTCTCCCGCTCCCTGCTGACTTTCCTTAGCTGGCAAAAACTCGGTCAAAGTGCTCGACTATTTCGCACGCCATGGTGCGCGATGCCCGCAAGACACTAACCCGGCCGATCATATTGTCGAGATCATCCAAGGAGAGGGTGAGGCCAAAATTGACTGGGTTGACGCGTGGAACCAATCTCCGGAACGCCAGCAAGAGCTCGAAAAGCTCATGTCTTTGACGCAAAAGGATGCTACCACCGTCGACCACGAGAAGGAAGATAATGCCGAGTTTGCATCGCCAAAGTGGTTCCAGTTCAAGATGGTTCTGTACCGGCTGATGGTCCAACTGTGGCGTTCGCCTGTGAGTTTTGACTTGATAATAGTCAAATACAACGTAGGACTAATAATTTCTTTGCAGGATTACGTCTGGAACAAGATTAACTTGCACATCTTCGCGGCCTTGTTCAGCGGCTTCACGTTTTGGAAAATCGGAGATGGCTCCTTCGATCTCCAGCTGCGAGTCTTTGCCGTTTTCAACTTCATCTTCGTGGCACCAGGTTGCATCAACCAGATGCAGCCGTTCTTCTTGCACAACCGTGATTTATTCGAAACTCGTGAGAAGAAGGTCAGTTTCTGCCCAAGGCCAAGAAAACCTAAGGGGAACTGAATAGAGTGCTGACTCGGCCAAAAAGTCGAAAACCTACCATTGGGTTGCCTTTATCGGCGCACAGATCGTGTCCGAGATCCCCTACCTCATCTTATGTGCGACCCTCTATTTTTGCTGCTGGTATTTTACCTCCGGGTTCCCGGTAGACGCGCGCGTCTCTGGTCACATATACCTCCAGATGATCTGTATGTCAACCAGCCCTTCACCCCCAAGCCACTTCCCCTACAATCCCACCACTAAAAAGCGGGCTCCGCACGCAGTCTATGAATTCCTCTACACATCCATAGGCCAGGCCATTGCAGCCTATGCACCCAACGAGTACTTCGCGGCCATCTCTAACCCGCTGCTCCTCGGCTGTGGCCTGGTCTCTTTCTGCGGCGTCGTCGTGCCTTACACGGCCATGCCGGCCTTCTGGAAGTACTGGCTCTACTATCTTGACCCCTTCCGCTATCTCGTCGGCGGCCTCCTGGGCACCCTCCTTTGGGAGGTCCAGGTGAAATGCAAGCCCGACGAGTTCACTTCGTTCAATCCGCCTACGGGTCAGACTTGTGGCGTGTACATGGCGGACTTTCTTGCATCGAATGCCGGGTATGTGGAGAATGCAAACTCGACGACATCGTGCCAATACTGTCCTTACGCGACGGGTGGTGAGTATGCTCAGGTGTTCAACCTGAATGAAAAGTACTACGCCTGGAGAGATGTAAGTGGCCTCACCAATACCTGTCGATTAAAGTACCATGTACCGGTTTTATTAACTCTGGCTGCGCACAGACGGGTATCACGGCGCTGTTTTGCATATCATCCTATACGCTTGTCATCGTGATGATGAAGCTGAGGAGCAAGAAGACGAAGAGCGCCCGGTCGGATTAGACTTTGTTGAGCTGCTGCCTGGACTTTGATATACTATAGAATACCTAATTATAGGGGCTTTGGGTTCTGGGCTATCTTCGCGTAGCCCAAAAAGGCTCCGTCGTTGTGGCTGAGAATGGTTGGTACTTGGGTGGTCATGAAAGAAACAGCTCTCAAGCTCTGGGGCGTGGCACGGGCAGAGCCCGGAGCCAGGCTAATGTTAACGCCGCAAATTCCGACACCTGCATCCCGCTTCATTCTTTTCACATTCTTCTTTCTTCACGAGTCTTGGATCAACCCGATCGTTAGGATGGACCAGGGTATAGCCCGATTAGGAAACCACTCTCTGGTTGGACGGTCGTCTGCATTTCCGGAGATCCGGAGGAGACGATTTGAAGGCCGAACTGGACGTCATCTTTGAGCTACCGAAGCCCTGTAACCGAGTTCTCGGCTTGTCTGCCGGCCCCTGTCAGACCGTTCGATGCACGCTTCCCCACTACCCGTTTAGGAAACCACTCTCGCACTGGTTCGGTGACTTCAATACATCTTATTGAAACCGGAGGCGGCGTCACCACGGAGTCTGGTATGGATCATGATTGTCGCCACGGAGCGAACTCCCTACCTCCGATGGGACGGACATGGCAACAGACATAAAAGACTGTTCTCACCCCGTCCATATCAAACGTAAAACCGACCAACATCTCTTACAAATTACAACAACCACATCAAGCAACCAGCCCCTCCAAGCATTTAGTTCCAACCCCAACCATCAGCTTCAGCTTCACGCACATACACACCCATCCCCTTCCAAAGAAAGAAACCTTAACCCCCCAAAGAACCCCCCCCCCCCCCCCCCCCCCCCAAACCCAACCACCATGTCCGACGACGTCGCCACCCAAAAGCGCAACCTCCCCCTCCGCGCCACGCGCGCCCTCTGCGCCGGCAAGACCTACATCGTGACCGGCGCCAACGTCGGCCTGGGCTTCGAAGCCGCCAAGCACCTGGCCTCGCTGGGTGCGGGCCGCGTCATCTTGGCCGTGCGCACCGTCGCCAAGGGCGAGGCGGCCAAAGCGGCGATCGATGCGGCGGCGGGCACGGCGGGCACGGGCGTGGTGAGCGTGTGGCCGTTGGAGTTGGAGAGTTTTGAGAGTGTGAGGGCGTTTGTGAGGAGGGCAGAGGCCGAGTTGGATAGGATTGATGCGGTGGTGGAGAATGCGGGGATTGCGCTGGCGGAGAGGGAGATGGCGGAGGGGCATGTTAAGCCGGTTACGGTGAATGTGTTGAGTACGTTGTTGATGGCGGTGTTGTTGGTGCCCGTGATGAGGGCAAAGGCGGAGAAGGTGGGGGATGGGGTGCTGCCGAGGATTGTGGTGCTTACGAGCAGGTCGGGGTTTGGTGATGATGGGCGTGTGGATTGGGAGGGGGTGAAGGGGGATGCGATTAAGGGGATGGATGCCGAGGATATGGTGCCGGCCAAGACGTGAGTCGATGCCTCGTGCTGTTTTGTACCCCCAGAATTGGGATAGGTCGGCTAACATCTGGATAGATACCCGTTGTCCAAGCTCACCGAGGTATTCGCGGTTCGCCATCTGGCACGCGAAGTGTTACCGGTCGAAAAGGGGGGCGTCATCATCAACCTGGTTTGCCCTGGACTATGCGTCACCGAGCTTAGTAGAAACGCCCCTGAGGAATTCACAACGCGCCTACGCCACTTGCACAGCTTGTATGGACGGACGGCCGAAGACGGCAGCCGCACGCTGCTGCACGGCGCTGTGGCCGGTGTAGAGAGCCATGGGAAGCTGCTTCACTCTTGCGAGGACGGCGAGTAAGTTGCCCTGCTTTCTTGCGAGGAAAATCCGCTGACTAACGAGTGCTAGGCCCGACGTCCCCGACTGGATCAAGAATGACCTTGAGGCGCAGAAGAACACCTGGGAGGCCATTGCCAAAGAGCTGGAGGTTGCTGAGCCGGGCTGCGTGGCCAACATGCTGTAGTGGGCGGGTTTATCATGCAGAATGCTTTGTGGAGTCACTAGGGAGGTGTATTGCTCACTAGGGATAGGTAGTCTTGAACTTGCACCACTCTATCACCTTTGAAAGCCAACCGCTTCCAGTCCCATACACCTTTCCCAAAACACCTTCCCCCGCCTTCCATGCCACGCCTCAACCCAAGGAAACCTCTCCAGCACACACGCCACATCATCCCAACCATCCAACCCCAACCGTCTCGTCACCTCCCTTGTCCCCTCAACAACCCACACCCCACCCGTCCCCTCCCCAGAGTCCAACACCCCCGCCACAACCCCCATCATCACCATCCACAGCACCATCTCCAGCCCCGCCCGCTCCCCCTCCCCATCCCAAACCTCATCCCCACCCATCCATCCCCCACAAACCCACTCCACCACCTCCCTCGCCGCCTCCCCCAACCACGGCACCGGCAAACGAACCTTCACCAACACCCCCGGCCCACCACCCCTTAGGAAACTGGCCACAAACGCTGCCAGCCCGACGCACACGGCCCGCTCGGCGGTGGTATAACCTTCGGCAGCAGCAGTCACAACCAGGTTCGTAGCATCGCCCCGGACCAGTCTCGGAGATTTAACAACGCCGTCACCACACCGATCCGCCGCTCTCGCATCATCGCTGGGAGGTATTGATGGCGGTGGGAGGAGTTGTAAGGCCTGTAGCCGGTAGCCGAGGAGGATGAAAGTGCCGTGGACGGCGGCGCTAGCAAGTTTGTGGGTTGGGTGGGGAGTGGTGGTGGCGGTGGAGAGGAGGACGGCGGTGTGGGTTGCGTCGTGGAGGAGGGTTGCTAAGGGGATTGTGAGGTGGAGGGGTGTGGTTGGAGATATGGGTGTGGGGAGGAGTAGGGATGGGGACGATGATGGTGGTGGTGGGGATGGGTCGAGGGGGTGGGAATCTTTGTTGGTTTTGACATGGCTGTTGGGTATGGGGTGGCTGGAGAGAAGTTGGAAGGCTTCTTCGAGTGCGAAGCGGGCCGGCGTGCCCAGGTTAAGCCAGTATTCGATGTCGGATCTGGGGGGGACGGTGTCAGTAGGGAGTTGAGACACGCGGCCTAGGCCTCTTAGTAGATACCTGGCCCACTCGGGCCTTTTAGGGGGTTACACGGGGACGCACCGGAGGATCTTGCGGGCTATGTCGGGATTGTTCTTGGAAAACTCCAGAATGCCACCGCGCATCTGGAGTATGCGCTGCATTCCGTCCATATGGACAAGGCCGCGGTGGAACTCGCCCTGCTGGCGTTCGTACAAGCCCAGAATCAACACCGTCGTCACAGTTTCGGTTGATGCAGCATCTTTTCCAGAGAGGCGCGTGTTGACGAGCCGGAGGGCCAGGCCTAGATGACGCATCCTCGCTTTCCAGTTCCCATGGTTGGTAACAGGAGAGGGATATGAAAGACCCGGGAGGCTGGGACATGCGGCGAAGAACACAGCCATGGCGCCGTGGAAATCTGTAGGTATGTTTAGCAACTAGAGGTACGTGGAATCGTGGCCACTTTAAAACTAACAGGCTTCGTCTTGGAATAGGGGTTGGAGGGACCACATCTTGGATTCCGAGCTGTAATCTAGAGCGAGGTCTAGTTCGGGAGCATGGCGGACCCCGTCCAGGAAAGAAATAGCTGGGGGACAGTGGTCAGCATGCTGAAGAGTGAGCCAGATCGCTCAAGGTACTCACCCCTTTGAACAAGATCGAGCGCGCCAAATCTGTCGCCTTGCTGTAGGTGGGCTGGAAGGGCACTCGGACGTGGAAAGCCAAGGATTGATACACTACCACATATTTTGCTGGATTCAGGTTGTTCATGGGCGGATGCGGTCTGTGGAATTGGTGCCCTTGCTGGCTTTCTCAACAACTCTTTCTTGGACCGCCGTGAAATCTTCTTTCCGGCGTTACGGCCGATAGCCACATGGCTGCGGATGCGCTTTCTCGCGGTCTTGTCGATGGTGCTGCTGTTGTCGACGAATTCAAACTTCATTTTGTCCTTGGGGACTAGGTTACAATGGTGCGCCGGACACTACTAATTACTATTACTTGTTGTAACAGAATAGTTGTTTAGGATTTAGGAGTAGCTTAGTCCTCGGCCATGTAATCTGAAAGAAGTGGGGTGAAAGACCGTAAGACGGAGTTAACGGTGGTAGTGGGATTGGCGGGATGTTCCCGTGTTGTCGAGTTGGGGGCCAAGGGGACAGACCAGGGTTTGCTTGCCAGACGAAAGTGTCACAGGGTTTGATATGAACCTGGGTTTTGGGGTGTGGAATGGAGTTTACGGCAGCTCTCAGGGAATGAAAGCCATGGGAGGCCAGGAAAGTCATACACACACCATGATCTGTCCGGAGGACAATATTACGGTCAAACTTTTGGAAATTATCAACTATGGAAGGAAGGTAATAGAGTCAGTGGTCGCCAGGAAGGTCACTCAAGCTGCAGAAGTCAACGGCCTCCTACCAGATGAACAAATGGGGAACAGGGCACACCGCTCCACAGAGCTGGCTGTCCGGCTAGTAGTAGCCCAGGTCCAGGAGGCGTGGAGACAGAAGGGTGCGGCATCCCTATTGCAACTGGACATCTGTGACGAACCTACTTCTGGACCCGGTCCTGTTAGGGTTCGGCTTCGGTCGAAGGTAATCTTTTCAAGGGTGCTTAGGTTCGGTGCAGCCAAAAGGTGCACAACAAAGACTTGTCTCAACAGTAGGCTCTCGAGCTTGTAGCGAACTGTAGTTGTGATTGCTAACTGGAGAACTCCCAGAGCTCTCCAGAACGAGTGACTATATACTGACTACATCCTGTGGCTCTTTGAGGGTCTAGGCAGCTCTCGAGAGCTCACTAGAGCTCATGCTCTCGGTGGCTCTTGAGAGCCCTTGAGAGCGGCCTCTGACTGGTCGCTCTCCTTTGGCTCTCGGGTACTACGAAGAGCACCCCGTGATTGGCTCATTTAAATGATTGGCTCGGGGCGTCCCGCGCCCGGGGGTCCCGTTTGTTGGCACATTCGTGACACCAGACGGGGAGCTTGTAACCCCGGATAAGCTAGCCGCGTGGCTGAAAGAGGATATCCTCCTACGGCGGGTAAAAGTGCCGGCGGTACGGCCTAATAAGCCGCGCGGCGCGTCCCGCCGGCGGGCGAAGACGGCGACGGATGCCGACGATGATGCCGAGGCTGCGGCCTTGGGCGAGGCCCAGGTTCTGACGGAGACCATAAAAGTATCGCTAGAAGAGGCGGTGCAACTCCTTGCGGATGACAGAGAAGATTACAACCCGCCGGCTACCTTTGCGCCTATGGGGGAAGAAGACAAGGCCGCCGTCAAGTGTACCCTGTTAACGAGGAGCACCGCAGACGTCTATGTCGCAGCCGTTCTCGAGCTCTGGAGGCTGCAAGTTGCACATGGGAACCCTAACGTTGAGAACCCTCGCGGCGCGGCCGCCTCGACCGGGAGACCTTTCAAGACCGCGGCGCCGACGGGATCCAGGCCGGTTACTCGCCCGAAGAGTGGCTGCGAGTGCAGACCACCCTGTTAGGCGGAACGGCCCAGGCGCCGCAGAACCTGCGCACCCGCGTCGACCTCCTTTTGGTCATTAATACCTTCTCCGAGGCGAAAACCGCCGTAAGATGGAGCTGGCCGACCTCTCCCTGCTCGACTACCCGGCTTCCGAAGGCCCGACCCCGTGCGGCTGCCTTGTCAGCCTCCTCCGAGACGGGAAGATGAACAAGACGCGAGGAAGGAGTTCATGGGCTCGCTCCGCCACAAAGACCCACTGCTCTGCACGCAGGGCGCCCTTGCACAGCTCTTCTTTTGGCGGTGGCATATCGCTGGCGAAGACCCGCCTTCCTTTCGGCGCCGACAGGATTGGTATAGGATCAAAGTCCTCGTCGGGCGGGACCGCGAACAAGAACTCTCGTACCCGGCGCAGCTGCAAGAGACTTGGCGCATCTTCGGGGCAGCCGGTATAACCGCCGCCAAAAAGACGCACCTCCCGCGCCGGACCGGTGCGCAAGATGCCAACACGCACGGCTCATCTCTTGCTCAGATTTCGCAGGCCGGCCGTTGGAACCAGAGCGTCCTCGTGAAGGCCTATCTCACCCACCTCCCCCGCGAATTCATGCGAGTCGTCGCCGGCTTTTCGGCCAAGGCAGGCGACTACTTCATCGCCCG